TCCTGAAGTAGGTGTTGCTTTTCGCGATGCCATGTTGCAAGTACAATGCTCCAAATTAGCATTAGTGGTAGTTTCGTTTAGGTGATAAATGTAAGAGCTTGGTGCGAAGCTACAGATATCGATTTTTAAGAGAAATGTAGTAATCATGTTGGTGCACGTCCATTAACCATGCATGACTTTACAGCCACAACTAGGTCTTATTGATCTGTGTGGTGGAATGCATCCTACATACGTGGCTCGAGGCCACAAGCCGCCGCCTTCAACATATGCTTCCAAGGACCCTTTCTTATTCAAAATCGAATCATTTTTAACGACTGATCTGTGTTAGATAGACTGATTCTTACTTGCTATCGGAAAACACTGCCACGATATTAATGATGATGCGTTTCCCGTTTGCATATTTAAGTGATTACATTAGTTCGGTGCCAAAATTATTCCAATTAAGTTGTCACCAAAGGAAACAAGCTATCCTTATTTTTGCAGTAAAACGTGGGTGGCTCTGATTTATATTGGTATCACAGAACTCAGTTCCATTTCCATGCGAGGGTGAAAGATAGCTTACATGCCCTAATTCACTGGCGTTTCAGTCGGCTCCGATTAAAACAAACAAAACCTGGGCCAATTTCATTCAAGGGTCTGTTACGATTTCTTCGCAACAATAAAGCATGCCGAGAGCCGAAGCTCAAACCTTCAGTCTGACGCAGGTTCCACCTTACCAGTCCAGGACAAAGACAAGCCAAGTGACAGGCCAGGAGGGAGAGCTTTTGGAGCTTAATGTGACCTTGGACCTGCCAATTGGGTGGGATTACCACGTGTGTGAACCAACTGCAAAGCGGACAATGTGGGACTGAACAAATGCGACCAAGATTTACCCAGATAGGTGTTTAGTAACGAATCACAATCACCTAATGTGGCCGAACCAATGGAATAGAGGTTCAGCATCCGATTTCCGACCATCGCAACGGCCTCGCTGAGTGGTAGTGTGAAACAGTATGCACGCTGACGCAAAGCTACCTCGTTTCAGTCATGAAAATGAAAAACTGAGATTTTTTCTGATAAGATAACAGCACATTAGGGTCGTTACAATAGATAATGGGCAATGTAGCGTAGATGTAAACTGTTGCAATAATGTAATACGTTGATGGCATTTTAGTAAGGACAGCAAATAAGGATTGTACATTTCAGTAATAGGCGACATTTAAATAATGTCGATGCTGATAATAAATACACGTTAATGAAGAAAATTGTGCTCTTGGCGGGATGCATTCTAAAATCAGGTGCAGAAGAAATTTAAATGCTTCTGGCTCCATTGTCACTTTCGATGGCGATTCAAGCGAGCATACCAAGGTGTACTGGGGTGCCTACGACGCCTACGACGCTTCAGCACGGCTCGATGGGTCGAGGACGATCGAAGAGCGGCCGCTATCGACCGACGCGGAGGAAGAGTGTTGGTGGCACCAAAGCCAGGATGACCAATGAGAAGCGGGTGGAGAGGCTCGGTGTTGGGTGGTGCCGGCACATACACTTGACTTCTGACCTCTGGCGGTTCCTTCAAGGGTGCCGAAATCCTGGACGAGCCTATGGTCAAGAGAGAAAGAATCCCAGCCGCCCCGCTTACAATCGCTTAAATACTGAATATAAAATTATTGAATAGCAGAATGGTGCAGCAGCGCCTCAAAGTGCTTGTACGAAATGAATGATTCTTCCCAAAATTCACAATTCGTGAGCGAAGGTTTGGAAATCACTAGTGCAGAGCCATTTAACAGCCAAGATGAGATCGTTTCAAGTGTCCGAATCGACCTAGGCCGCCATAGACTTTGTGGAGGAGCTTAGAAAAGCGTAGAGCATTGCATACTTTGCAATCACATGAGTAATCAAGGGGAAAATTGTCCTTGAACAATAGCTTCATAACAGTCGAAGATAATTGCATAAGCACATTAATTTTGATTTTTCAATTAACGGACAAAATATTCCAGCGATACATAAGCCAAACAAGCATCAATTCTACTTGACGAATATAGTTTTTTTGTGAAGTTAAATCACTACGTATTGATCAAATAGATGAACACGAAAATTGCCAATTTAGAAAGATGAAAGACAAACTAAAAAGAACAACTCCCTTGCCAACGCAGTAAGAAGACCCGGCGCATTTTTATATTCTAACCTTATAAAACAGCTTAGTCACTTTGTACAGTTTGCTCAGTAACGTCTGTGACCTATGAAAATTCGAAGCTAGCAATGTGTTCTTTACATAAATGGTTTAATTGGTTGTAGCATATGTTAAGCTGGATGCTACTCTTGGCTGCACTTTTAGCGAGGTGAATTTAAATGCCCGCTAATGTAATTCATTAAAACAACCACATAAAACTGAAGATTATTCGATTTAACACTATTTGAACCGCCTGAAACAATGACACTTACTTGATGCCTTTGAGCCGCACTTTTGGAGAGCGGTAAAGAGGTATTTGATTTCGTGCTTCAAGGTCTCCTCACCTAAAGCAATTCTAAATACTTGCAAAAGACAGGCTTACGGTGCAGGTTACTCAAAAACTGACTAGCCTGAGTAGGTGTAAAGTATCGAAGAAAGGGTTTGAGTTTCTCGTTGATGTTACTAAAAAATTAACAAAATAGGTACTGACGAGCACAATGCATTACTTGAGCAAAAACAGTACAGTTTGCAACTAACAAAAGCAGCGGTGGTTTAAGAACAAGTTGTACGATACGTATTTACGCTTTCCTATGAGTAATCAATGTACCCGAAAAAAATCTGGCCGTTAGTCGTGATAAAGAGTTTGAGATAAATGCGTTTCAGAAGACTTGAAAGAAGCCCCGTTCTCACTGGGGACCGCATAAAGTATAACTGGACTAATCAGATTAACATTCAAAGCAAAACATGTAAAACAGCGACGTCTTTGCTCAAACAATTAGAAAATTTCTTCATAACAGATGCGAAAGATTAAAAAAAATGTTTGTAGTCATGTCTGAGAGTGATATGGAACTATCGTTCAGGGAAGTATTAAAGTACAGTCAAGGCTTCTGGCCACAGTCTGAATTTTAGGAGTGATGTCGGGGAATCTTGGGATTTCATCCTGCGGTTACTTAGACCAACAATTCACAAACATATCAGGAAGTATAAAGATAACTTAAAAAGGCCTTTTACAGAAACAGAATTATGACTTGAATCACAATGTAAGAATGTAATAAAACCGCAAACACTTCGAGAGAATAGTCCCAGTGTTGTAGACTAAGGGAATAAGGTTTCGCTATTTTTAAACAGTAGTCATTTACTATGCATAACACCAACGTGAATTGCCATAATAAAATTAAGTAATAAAGACACGTTTGAGGCCAACAATGACGTGTAAATTACCACAGTTTGACACCACGGAAATGAACTTCTGATGTATGCAACAAAGGGAACAGTTGAAGAAGTGCAGGTGTAAATTTAGGAACGTCGTCCCTTCGTATTTAAAAACAATATTTTGCTAAGGATAAAAGTATAGACAAGGCCATTTTGTAGTCGGACTTGAAACACACAATTATGAGATGAATGTATGTCTTTTTTGCGTAGTGGTGCTATACAACCAATAGTCACTTTTTACACGACGGCATTACTAGAGTAGCCAACTGTTGCCTAGTTACTCTTACTCAGGTCAAAGTGGGAAGTGCCAACTTAAGCATACCAACAGAACAAGATGCAAATTGCCTCTCTGCAGCACGAATTTGCTGGGAGAAAATAGCTAAATGAAAAACAATTACAGGCAAAACAGCTCACTTAGGTGACTTACATTTTTGAGGTTCGCGAGAAAAAAATGATTTAAACAACACAGAATTAGACGTACAAAGCGTCATACTCTTCTAGATCTGCTGATCTACCACATTCTTCTCGAGGAACTGGAATAACCCCAGGTACAACGAGAGGGATGCCACGAGTCGGACCGGATGACTGAAGTGCGAAAGGAGCGGCTAGCCAACTGCCCGCGGGAGGTGAAGCAGGGCTAGACTGAAGCGGCAGTTTTCGTTTGTTAACACGTGAAATGGGTGTAAGTTTATTGCGAAATACTGGTGGGGTTATAGAAGACCTGGATTCGACTTTAGTCGCCCGACGCTTTGGCCTCTTGTTAGTCAAATAGGCCGATATGCGGCAAATGAGTCCGTGTAATCGGCCGATTTCCTTACGCTTTTGACGCTCTTGAAGCCGTTGAGTATAGATACTAACATGTGCCACGTGCAACGCTAGAAAAAGGAAAAGAGTTATCAAAGAATACACACGAATTAAACGTTTCGAGCTACTTACCTTTTTCAAGATCATCACACTCTGGACGGATACTAAGTCGAGTGAGCAGGCTTTCGGCATCATTATCATAATCCTATACGTATGAACGAAGACATGAATCAAACCCTTTCGAAATCATCCCTTAAAACCATATAGCCAAGTAACTGCTGCTCAATAGGTTCCAAAGATATGGATTTCTCATGACAAGAAGTCAGAATTGGAGTGGTGTGATCGGTCACAAAGTTTGAGTGACAATTGTTCTGAGATAATACACCAGCGAAACACCCGTGGAGGTAGAAACTAGAATAGTGCTCATAGCATTCTTGAGCGTCGCGGTTGCTGCAATTTTCTGCAATGTCCTCCCTGAAGCACAATACGCAATAGCAGAATAAATTACCAGTTTCCCAATCCATATTGCTCAATTGCATCTAATAACTCCAGTTCTTCAACATCGGACCAATGATTGAGAATACACGTGTTGTCTTCCTTAGCATGGGCATACTATAAGTCAAATGTACATAAAAAGCCTCACTTTAACGCAGTAACGATGGGAACGTTTATGATGACCTGCTTCAACACCACAAGAGAAGCACTAAAAGAATTGACCACTATATAAATACTTACAAATAGACATAGTTTGACGCATTTGCAATCATAACACCGGATATATAAGTGCTTGAATTGTTTTAAGCAGTAAAAGCACCTGACTTCACTCATCCCAACTTCATATCACAAAGCAGCCTTCAAGGCTAGATAGTGACTCATTTTAAATCACCAACCCACAAATGAGCAAGTTGGAGCAGCAGTATTATCAAATGTATTTTGCAGGTCATTGCAGGTTATTTTTCACGATTGTAAGTAATATTTATGGAAAAAATAAAATCAATAATAGATTCCATTTAACTGCAACTTTGTGAAAATCCTTGTGCGTTTTTGAGATGCCATTAGACTTTAGCAACATAAGTCCACATCCTCTTTACAAATTTCAAGTCAATATTTGTCGTTTTCTGCACAATAATGCAAAAATTAAAAGCCTATTAATATTTTGCAGTGTGATTTCTTAGCTTTTAAACTACAAATAAGTGGTGCCAGGAAGTTTAATTCGTCAACAGCTGCAAAAATCGAGCGGATGCTTAAAGCGAAAACAGGCTAACCAAAATCTCCTCCGTAACAACGTTGCCCTAAGAAAAGTAGAGCCATATGGTAATTTATTGTACTTTTATTCCCTTGCAGATAAAAGTGATTTTCAGTTTAAATAAGATGATCCGACTCGATTTTAAAGCCAAAGCATGAAATTAGAAAGGAAACTAATAATTTTGATGCTGAATTTGAGCTGAAAAGTTATTGGTTTTCCTGGGGCAATGTTGTGCATCCTTGAAAAAACCATTTGAATTAATAAGCAATCACAGATATCAATGCATTCGAATGCTAAGATAATGGTTCTATTACCTACTTTGAGATCACCCAATAAACATAAGCCCATATCTCATGTAGTAGATTGGACAGCCACCAAAAATATTTCTGCGTTTCCACAAATTAAAGATCTTAATTTAATCTATGCGAGAACCTTCCCATATGAAGCTATAGATTCGGCTACCTATTGAAATTTGTCTCTCGCATCTGATCAGATATTTGTAATGTAACTATTCGCTATACTTGATGGTACAAATCATGCACCATCGATCAGCTCCTATATTCCAGCCATATGCCACGTAACTAGCTTAGTTTGCACTCTTGTTTTCAAACTTTATTCAAATATTTTAGTTCAATAATAAAACTCTGGTGTGAAGAACACAAATGTAAATCGCAGCCTAAAGAATGTGGGAATATGAATCCCGCTACACTATTTGTGTCTTCATTTATTTGTCATTAATAAAATATGTGATAATAATGTACTGGAATGCCTCTTTGGGTCGCGTTTAAATATTCCGGTGCACTCCCGCAAAATATAGAACTATCGAGATGATGTCTTCGGAAGATAGAGAGACGCTTTATCCGTTGGTTATAAAGTATTGCAAATTTTGTTGTAATTTTTCTTTAGCCAGCTTCTACACGATGGCTATGGAGTGTTTGCTTTAAGTTTGAAGAAAATCTTGATTCCGAATTGTGAAACTGTTGCATCTAACAAATTATTGAATCTTGTCAAACTAGGCCTTGCAGTGTCAAAGTGTACCTATCCTTCTTAGTTAATCTAGTTTTGTAGATTTGGAGGACTCTGAACTTGGAAAGGATTTTTCCCAACTTGCACATGCTTTTCATCCCAACCACTACGGGAATTGTACGCTTACTTTCTTTTTATGACTTATTTTTGTGCACTTTTTTGCGCCTTTTTAGTCGTACAAACCTAGTTGTCAACTCTGAATTTATATTTTATTGTGTTATAGCCTCGTTTTTCTCAAACACTTCGTCTAACCTGCAGTCAGTGGACCAGTCACCTCAACAACTCCAGCTAAATGGTTCCCAGAGCGTTCATTTCCCTCTTGGTGTTAACCAGCCTATTAAGTTGGAACCAGGTGATCATAGTTTTAACTCACTTCATCTGCCTCTTGGTGCTTATCAAAGGCAATGGGCCCAGGTGTGTTTTTTGACAATTTCAATCTTTTGCTTTAGCCCCATATTTAGTCCTTTTATCGATGTTTTGGCTTTTTAAGGCTTTTGTTTATTTTTAATGCGGCGTTTCAGCTTGACTAGGTATTCTTCTGCTAATTCTCCCTTAATTCATGAATCTTCTTAGAGATTTTCCTTAGTAAGCAGCCTTTTCAGCGCATGATTTTAACTTCCGGATTGGATCCTGGCCTCTTCATTTTTAATTCCATATTTTCCCGTTTCTTTGCAGATGGCGAACCGAAGCACCATCAACTTGGATGGAGAAATTCATGAGCTTCCCGGAGATGGAAGTTAGTTTTCGAATGGATTTATTTGTTTTATGCCACGTTGCATTCGCAAATTACTGATATGAAAGTGACTTTTTTCGTATTTTTAAGGCCCTAACAAACTTTTCGAGTGTTCCTTATGTGGCAAAGTATTCAATCGGAGAGACAAGGTGAAGCGCCACCTTAGCGAACTGCATCACGGTATGCTTTACCTCCTGCTTCCGCGGCTGCTCTTTACCTCGCACTAAAAACAGTTTGTCTTTCTCTAAAATTCATTTGTCCTTTTATTTGTGATTAATCTGATATTAAGAGGTGTCAACCATGAAGACTAACATAGTCTCAACTGTAGTTTTTCTCTTGGGGCGTCTGTGAGACTCTTAACACTAAAACGAATTTCGATTTTAAATGCGTCGTTTTAGCGTAATCAAATAGTGATATGGGGATTCTTTGTGCCAGAATGTCGCTCTCAAGTAATCCTGTGTTTTTGACTCTATTGAAATGCTAGTCTTATTAGGTTTGCTCATCTTTTTGTCAAATCTAGTCATTTCCGGACTTATTAACACCTTCCAGAAATGGTCGAATCACCTCGCGTGCTTTTTTTGCATTAGGCCACGGGCCCGGTTGATAGGAAAACCAGTTACATTGTCATTTGTCATAATTATGTTTTGCGGCATTTCACTCTAATTTAGTTACCCCACATTATACTTACGAGTATATGAAGCAGTCAGTAATGCGATTGCTCTCGCTTTATTTCCCAGGTATCAAAAGGCACCAATGTGTCACATGCTCAAGGCTGTTTTCTCGCAATGACAAACTTGTCCGGCATATCATGACAGTCCATCAAGGTGCGTCTTGGTTTCGCCTTTTTGACTTATTTCCTTGGAAATGTCAAAAATCATTATAGCAATTATAATCTTAAACAGAAGAGCTACGGCTTGTGTTCAACGCCACCTTTCTATTTTTATATCCTTTTTCATTTGCTATCAACGTTGTGCTTTCCACTGTTTTGGTACTAGGAATTCATGAAATAATTATGTTTGAAGTGTCGTAGGAATAACGCAAATCACCATCCAGAACTTGTTCAACCATTTCCGCTGAACCAACACGTACCTTAAGTAAATCACGGTCGCTGAATATTTCTCACGTCTAAGAATTCGCTCATAGCAATCTTGGATGGTGCCATGAGAATCGTTGATCTTTTTTACAGCACAATTAACCGTCCATCCGTGTGTTCAGTCAACCTCTTACTAGCCTGTCCAATCCACGATAAGTGACGGTGTAATGCAGTCTTTCTATGTTATTACAATTGTCATAGGGCTCATATCAACCGACCTTGATATCAATAAGAACTATGTGATATTCAAAGTCTTATTTAACAGGCTTTGTAACTGTGAGAATGAAGGAAAATATGGTAATTATGTCTTCCTTGTATGCAACAAATTTAAGTGCAACTCCTTTGCATATATGGCGTCGCTAATAGAAATTGCATGTCTGAGCTGACGCATGCTGTGCCGATGACGCAATGCTGTGGCTTTGGCCATTACTCGACATAAAACTGCTTTGGTTGGCCTGTTCACACAACAACGTGTGACACCCATTGGCCGCTTCATGTTGACTGCAATTTAGTGAGGTCCGTAATTCAAACTACAAAACTCGAATACCAAGTAGTGTGATCCGTTCTTCCTGAGGTCGCGAATAGACTCCAGTTTTGTTCCTTTTTCCTTTATGCTTATGCCCTCTGAGTCACCTATTTGCATCGTTAAAGATTTTCAATTAAAGTTGTCGTTGCTGTGTTTGTATATGTAATTTTCTCGGCGGCTTTATGACATCAATCGCCAGACACTTTCCGCATTCAAGAGGTTCGTTTGTTGTCACTGTCATGATCCTCACTTCACTCGTTGGTGTATTATCAGCTCATATTTTTTTTCTTACGCGCTTTATTCTTTTTTTGACTTTGCCTTGGTCTACGCTGGAACCACTAAGTTGACATATATCGCTCACTCAAGCCGTTATTAATTTATATTCTCAATTTGTTTTGAAAGTCGTGTGTATAAATCTTTTTTGCTAAAAAAATATTGCCAAAATATGTCCAAGTATTCAGAAAAAAAGTGAATTATTGGACTAACTTCTCTTACCACTCGTGTTTCATCCGTTTTATGGTTGCGAAATTTGAAATTCTGTCATCAGTCGCTGTCATTTGTGATGGTTGGTGTTTATGCATTCGATTCTATCCACACCGGTTCTACATTTGCTGTTTTATGTCGGGTAGGGTTATGCTTTCGTGACAGGCGTCTGTTTTGAAGCAGTCGCAGGCTTGGTAATGACAACACGGATACTACGTGGTAGTTTGAGAGAAGGTGTACCTACATCCAGAGTAACTATCCAAATTACGGTGAACCAAAGGTTATAAACTTCCCTCTGATAGAAATTGAACCTCGGTACCCCGTTCAGCCATTCCTTCATCCTCTTCCACAATTACATTTTGTTGTATTTTGTGTTTGCTTACTGAGGAGTTCACACTTTTTGTTCACGAATAATTGCCATTCCCGAAGTATTCCTTTCACCTTTTGGTAAGAAAACAATAATTAGAATAAACTCGTTATTCTAACTGTGTGGTTCTCGTTTTAGAAAGCCTTGCTAACCAAGCCAGTCTGGTTTATGCCCGTGCATGCCTATGTAGAAGTGCTTCAAACACAAGTTATTTCTCGCTAATTTCTGATCTTTTAATCACTAATTGTCAGTCCAGTTATTTTCATTCGCTCGGTGGTAACAAGCGCATTAAATCGATCACAAAATGCGGGTCCTGTGACGTGTTGATGGCTTATAGGTTATGCGGGCTAATGTCGTCAATTATAATCTCAGTGGTCGATGTTTGTGAAAACTTCTCAAACGACAAAAGAAGTCGCTGCACAGGGCTTCTTTCGAGATTAAATCGCTAATAGTAGCTTCCTCGGTTGCGCGCATATTTTTCCATGTTACTCCCCGTCAATAATCTTTGATTTCTTATGTTCGTTTAATATACACAGTTCGGGTTTGTAACTGGGGTTTTGACAATGAAGTCGAACTAAGACGTTTTGGTGGGTTGCTAGTTTTTCTTGATAGGTCTTTCTGAGGCAGTCACCATCAATTTATCCTTCATCTCGTTGTGGGATTTCGTGGAGATTTATGTATAAAAATCTGGACGGCAGAGTGCGGCCGGTCTTCTTTTATCAACAAGCAACAATAAACTGCTACATTTTTTTCAACATGCACCTATTAGCAGTTGGTCAGATCTACCAACCACCCTATTCGTACATCTGGGGTGCTACGTTATTTCAAGCCTTTACTTTATCCTGCGTACTTCCGCATTTGTGTGCTACAGTATGCATTCTTTCACTTCACATTTTAGGAATTAAGGCCTTTGGCTGCCTGCACTGTCCAAGACGATTCAGTCGGCGATGGGAATATCAGCGGCACATGCAAACCACACATCCAAGTAGGTTCCGCTTGCCTCTTCTCCATCCCGTGGTGTCTTGTAACACCCACATCTTTGAAAGTGGGTTAAAAACATGTTGATCTGGGATTCTCATCTAGGCTCGGATGATTGTGTGTTTTCACACCAAATAACCGTTTTTCCGAGTCCTGTTCTTCACAGGTAATCAATGACCCCGGAGTGAGCAGACTAAAGAGACCACGCTTGTTCAGACGTGCTAGATAAATAAGCAAGGTTCTAAACTAAGGCGCTTATGTACTACCGAGCCCCTAGTTCTAGCAAAAACCCAAATATCGGATTGGGCTTGAATGAGTGCCGCGCCAGGCGTGGAGAAGTGGGACATTTCGCCCCTTGAGGTGGAACAGAGAGAGGACATGGTGGCCCTGGTCGTTGGTGTGATATTTCCGCTCTGCCCTCAAACAACACTGCACTTGTGATCGTTACGTCCCCATCTGTGTTTAGCTCTTTAGTCGTTTTTACTAATTTATTCACTAACCCAATTGTTGTAGCTTTACTCCTTTAAGCCTCTCATCGATCATCTTGAGGAACCTTTACGCCCTATCTCTGTGGAGTTGCATTGTTTTCTTATACCACTTAGGAATACTTTTTAATCCAAATGCCATCTTGTGTGCTAAGGGTGATGGGGAGGGAGGCAAAGGTGGTCTCGTTCGTTTTTGCAGAGGAATTTAAAGATCCCCAACGCTCTATGATGCTAAGTGTGGTGGCTTTTTCACATGCAGCTGCCTTTTGTAGTGTCAACTTCTCTTACTCCATTTTTATAACAGTAGTTCAACACCAAAACGGTAACTTTTTTCAGATGCTCGTTTAAATGTGGACGTAGGAATTAGCCGGTAAGGCAATTTCCAATTTGGTTCCATGTCGGTATGTCTTGGAGTCACTATGCCGTCTAAGCATTTAAGTAGGCTTCAGCAACCAAAGTTGAAACCTTATCTTCCTTATGTTTCCTCGATGAAGTTGACTCGTCTTCTAGTCGCGCTTCCCTTCTGATGAAACATAAGGCAGACCTATCTGTTTCACGAATTTTTGTGATTAAGTATGGTGACGGAGCTGAGGTCTGTGTTCGGACGCATTGTCAAGTCTAGGGTAACATTAATGAAGCATACTTGGACGTAATTAAGGACATTTTATCAATACCCTTGATTCTCAGCACAATTAGACTCTGTGCTTGCATGCACCATGTGACACTCGATGCTCACGTCGTACTGTTCCGGAATTCATCCAACACAAGTCCCTTGGTTTTTTACTCTCGCAGTAAACTGATTGCAAATTCGTGAACGTTTAAGTTCCTTACCTCAATGCAGTAAAGTGTCTGTGATTCAAAAACTGCCTACGTCTGTGTTTACTTTGAACAAATTTTTTGTAGTTGTTCAGGCAGTCTGCACTCATTCAGCGTGATTGGTCTTATTCGAATTTGCCAGCAGCTCCACAATTTCCAGACACCAATCATCATGCCTTGGCTGTCACTTATGCGACACGGAGAATGACCCAGCGAGCCAACACAAATCACGTTGTTGTTTTTATTCCTTTAAGTTACTTGAACCAATTCAAACGGAGTGTGTCAACGTCTCGGAGTAAGGCTAGTCTCTTGAATGCAAATCGCTTTCTAGTCGGTTGGGGTCACGCTAAAGGCGCGTTCAAGTGCGAAAGCAAACTTCCAGCGCCCATGACAACTAGTTTGGGCAGATCGTTTGCTTAGCCGAACATTTTTTTTAAGAAAAGGTACTTAAAATGAGGCGGGATCGAATTTGACGATCGGACTTGTAGACTAACTGAAGCAGAAGTCCTCAACCCATGCGATGTGTATACAAACCGTGGTCATGTTTTCATTCATAGCTTTCAACTTTGCACCCCCCAAAGCCCTTCAAAATCGCCTGCCTCTCTTCCCTTCAACACCAGCGCAAACAAAGTCGACTACCCAACAACTATCAGCGTCTCAACAAGTTTCTCCTGTCACCGGTGTGAATAATGCTAACACCACTGTTCCCAGTACGTCTGTAACACCTACGACTCAGGTCAGTGTTGCATCTTCCCCAGTGCAAAGCACTCCTACGGCCACCACCGTCGTCCTCACGGCTGCCGTTACCTCAGTTTCTCCCTCATCTGCTTCGAGTCGTGCGATGTTTCCTGTCTTCCCTGTTTTTACGAGTATGTCACGTATTGTACTTATAACTATTTAAGTAATTATTTTATCCTTAGTCGGGGCTACTTCTTTCCCTGAGAACCTGGTTACTGGGGCAAGAGCTTTGTTGTTGATTTTGTGTGACTACTGTGTGGTAGGTATTCAAAAATGTGCAAAGTTTTAGTCTTTATTGTCGATGAATTTTCTCTTACCGCGTGCGGTGTCAATACGGTCTTTGCCTTAAGGTCCCAGCACCACTCCATGGGCTGCTAATGCCTGTTCTACCAGCACAGTTCCTGCCACCAGCGCAAAACCAGCACCAAAGCCGGTCGCAGCTACCACGGTTTCAGGTGGTCCCACTGCCACCGCCTCCATCGAGCCGCCAGCTGTCACCGACTCGGTGGCTCCTCTTTCCGTCCCTCCACCTTCGACTTCCCAAGCAATGTTTCCTATGTTCCCAGTATTCACCCAGTCCCGTAAGCTTTTGTCTTTGTTGTACACAGTGTCTAGCCATCAAAGTAGTAGGACGTAAGTAATGAAGGGTTTACCTGTTCAGTCGGTTACTGCGCTTGCTGTTCGTGTTTTGGAAACTTTATTCTAATTAAATCCGTCTCACCAGAGTCCCTAATATTACCCAGCTTCTCGACATTGTTGGAAGGAATTGCGTAGACAAGGTTGCATTTTCCGGCTCTATTGATTTTAACCAATGAATTGTTCATTCGCCTTACCACCTCGTGCTGGTGATGCTGATGTCGGAAAACACACGTGAAGTCGTGCTTTAAAACCGAAGGAATTAAGGTTCTGTCCAGAATCTCTAAGCAACCGTAAATGTACGGCTGAACTGGCTTCCCCCATTGTACGTCATCTCGTTTGGTTCTGTGCAGATTCGTTGTAATTTTGGAAATGATTAACATAACTAGAGGCATGCTAAGTTAAGCTTCGCTTGTTTTTCTTAGGATTATTGTCGAAACAATTTTTTGACGCGTTCAGTCCACCGGGCCAGTCATGCAGTGTTTTAAACGATTCAGCGGTGTGTGGCCATTGCCGGACGCTCATTCTGGCACTTAAGTGGATGCGCAATGCGAAGGCGACGTTTAAGCTGGATCCGACCGTCCAAGTTCTTGTTGGATTTTGTTTAATGCGGGTTGGCTCAAATGTAACCGAACCTCAACTTTTGCTAGAAATTAAAAATTAATGAAACACCTTTTTGCATAATCTTACACCAAAAGTCAACAATGCAAACCATTGTTTAGAGTTAAGATACGATATCGTTCAATGGTAATGACCCCCTTTAGTTCGCAGGTCATTCGACTTCGCACTGGAGAAGTATTTACTGCGCGGACGAGGTCATATTTAGGGGCGTAGAAGTGGACCTTGCTTAAAAGTCACTTTTATTCGGACGTGCATTTCGATGTTGTCGAAACTTTGTAGTTTAGATGGCCATTAAGGGTAATGAGTCGCCTCAACAATGCCCAATATCTCTCGATGTCATAAAATCAGTCGTTTGGATTAGTACATCGAAATGCACCATAACTTTGGCTGGTCGAAAAATCGTAACTCATGGCCAAGCATATTTGGTCTATTCTCATGTGTACTAATATGCTATAACGTGAGGGTGGGATATGTGGTCAGACCATCGAGGTATATCGTCCCAACGCCATGCGCCATCGCACTCTGACGCTTGCACCACTTCCTTGAATAACCCTGCGTTTCGTGGACATTCAAATGGCGACACGATTCCTTCGGTTCTCAGAATCTTTTCACGCCGGGCTCTGATAGTGTCGTAGTCACTTGTCGACGGAGAATTCTGAACCATGATGTGCACCGGTTTCCGAATGTGAATGACCAGCTTTGGGCTGGTCTTGCAACTCGAGGCTCGTCTTCGGTATTGTTTCACTCATGCGGTAATGAGGTGCACCCTCGAGGTGAAGCGTTAGCCCCTAAATCAGTATGCTCTGACGCTCCTAGGAGGACCTTAGATTCACAGCGTCATGTTCACTGCATGGATCGGGTGTTCATTGACTGTGCTAGGCGGTTGGGCTTCCTGGGTTTACATCGATGATCGGAAGTGTTTGAAATCTGTTTTTAGAGACGTCGTCGGTGCCTTCGTGTTCCTCATCGAATGTACCCTTCACAGCCTCTGTGCCCTCGAATAATGCGGTGTTTCCATCCACGTCGGTGGCTTTCACTCCGAGTAAGCTGTTATATGCGCCTTTTGGATCTGCCCAAATTGCGTGTACTCTGATTTTTAATTGTCTCTCTTACAGCCGTATCTTACCATGCCGGTTACGCAACTATGACAACCTCGACAACCAACGCGCCATCGCAATCGAATTGTGATGAACCCACGTCTCTCACACGAATGCTGTTGTAGACTTCTGCTGGGTTTTGTAAATTCACCATTCCTGTATTTCCTCTTTTTGATCTCCTCCATGTCAGCTTGCTTTTCTTCATGTACCTCGTTGTCCACGTTCGCATTTAAGATGATTGTGCATTTGCCTTAAATTAGCTTCCATGTACATAATCGACCGACATTACAGTCCCACTATTTCGCACTTGTTTGTTTCCTCTCATTTCTGCGGCTCTATTTGATTTGGATGTTCAACCACCAGCGGTAAATCCATGCAACCTTTTAAAATGCTGCTCCCACAACCGTCGGAACACCGCATCGCCCCTAATGGCTTGATGGAGTTGGGCTTTAAATGGCGTCTTAATACCTGTTTATTGGAATGCTTTCTATCCATGGCTGAAACTGTTTTTATTTTAACTAAACGCCTATCGATACTTGGGCATTTCAGCCACAGTCAAGTTCTGGAGATAAGCTAACTTGTTTTTGTTTTTTTTTTCGTACTATTCGGCGGGTCTGTCGTTACCTTGGGTCCCTTCTTTTATCAAATATTCGCGATCTGTGTCATTTTGTTTGGTGCACGGTTCGATGTAAGGACACCAAGACGATGGGATTACCAGCATTACCTAAAATTTAATCTGACCGGAAACCACTGGAGAACGCTACTTTGTCATTTCTTAAGCCAAAGTGTGCTGCTTCACACGTTAAAATTTTGAGGCCATTTTGGGGCATAAACCTTGCAAATTGAAAAAAAAATGCGCAGGTACATACCCGGGAATCTACCTTCCCACTCCCTTTTACCTCTTGATTGTACCAATCGCACTCGGCGTATTACTCTCAACTGGGTTGGCTCCTGAGCGCTGTTACTTGACGGCAAATGTAGCAGAGCCTTCCCTACTGGGAATCGGTACTTTAAGAACAAGTTCCTTAACCTCCACATAGGACTTGGCACACCAGACTTGACACCTTTGTTCTTAGCACTTTAATGCTTGCTCTTTGGCTTTCAAATTTTTTTCATGGAAGTGTAAACGAAGTTAATTAGCCCAGCAGGACACCTACGACTCAACACGAATTATCTGCCGTCTGCTGAATTAACGATATATCTGGAATCATTTTTCGCCTTTTTTAATCTCTGGCCATCAAAATTTGTACCGAATTAATGTGGTGCACCATCGTCTTATTAAGATTGCTTTGGGTGTAGTTACTTTGCTTGGTAGTTGGAGTAATCCAAATCACTCCCTAAACAGTTTAGTATACATATCCACACCCATAAGTTACTTTTTTTCGTGGTTTTGTTCTCGAATTTTGGCAGTGCACATGATCACCTATCGAACTTTTTATTTCTTAGGCAAAATTATTTTGATCTTGCAAAACGTTCCAACCACTTTACAATGCTCCACAGGTTTTTAGTCAACCTATCTCCCCTAACGGTGTGCGCGTGTTGGTTTTGTGAACGCCCATTTGTGTTGACGATCGAAGTTTTTGCATGAAATACGTTCAAACTGCCCACGAACGTTGTTTATTGGTTCCGAGTTAATTGGTCATAACTTTGACAAGTTGACTTAATTTCGAACTTCTAGTATTGCTTTCATGGGAAGTAACTCACTAACCGTTAAATGCGACTATGGCGAGCGGGTGCGCAATCGATTTCGTCCACCTCGTCGTGAAGTCTTCTTGTGGTCTTTTTTGTTTTTGGGCTCAATGGGTGTTTTGAGTAATACGCTTGCACAAGAACTGCAATTGGTTACACCAACGCGGTCCACTGGCAACAAACCTAACTAATCGCAGACACGTTGGTTCTGCAAAGAATCAGCAGCCCTTTTGAATGATATTTACCCGTCTTGTAAGAGTCAACATATTGCTGAGGTGAAAGAATGGGTTGTCAATAATTTCGGCCGTGCAATTGCGAGGAGGCTGCTTGTTGCCTTTGTCTGTGGGATGAAGCGTGCTCACTCGACCGGTGCTCATCAAACTGCGTCTGGGTTCTGGTCACAGTGGAGCCTGACTGTGCACTTGACGTTGCGACACGAGAAAAGAAACTCGGGATCGTTGCCCGGTAAAGACAATGGACAACAAAATTAGTGTGTGGAGGGTCCCAACATGTTATCTCGAACCAAGCCGGGACCACTGTGTTGGATCTCTGCCGTTTACGCTACCCTGGGTACCCGCTAAGATGAAGACCGGGGAGGGCGAGTCACAACCGTTCACCAGACAGCTGAACGCTGATGCAGTTGAGAGGGTTAGCAAAAATACAGGCGTCTGAATGGTCACGTGGATAGAGCGGGTGGTGGTGGTATACACAGAGGGCCTAAAGAGCAGACGGTCCCAATGACTGACGGGCACGCCGTGAAAAGGGTGACGTGTGTGAAGCTGCGACGACCGGGTTATTGGACGTGAATCAACACGATTCACGACAAGCGTTAGGCTGGAGCGATGTGTGTGTGATCAACGTGAAGTGTTCGACTGAGGTCGTAAATTGCCTAAATTACGGTTCCGCGAATAATTATGGAAATAACGGGGAAATTTGAGTTTAGATGGTTTCTGATCTGGGGCCCTACGTAGAGAACTGAGAACCATTTCAGTTCAATTTTAAAACTTCTTAATCAAATGTAACAAATTTAAATGAAATTTCTGTAGTATCGATTCTCGTGTACGTTACATAGCTTCTGACGACATTTTATTCCATTGATAATCAGTAGATTAAAGTTAAAACAACTGTATATATAAACACAGAGTACTACATACTTGACTGCATGATTATCTACTTCTATAAATATCATTCTTTTTTGAATCTTAAAATAATCTAAACGCTTGCGTCAGTTTTAAATGTTCAGTGTGGGCTCACCGAAATGGATAAATATGTGTTGCGGCATGGTATAGCGAGAAATAAGACTGAAATAACGAAAGGGCAGCCGTATACGAAGTCGTGAAAAGAGGTGTTTGTACAGGATAACAAGTGAGTTTATATAGCTTCACTAAGCATCGATCTTGAACGAACACGTAAATCGATTGAATCATGTTCGCTCACGCCTGTTAACTGTGTTCACATGCTGCTCGCCGCAGATGTATGGATTGGTGCATGGTATTTTTACCGTTTACTGCGTCCTGTGTCAAAATTTAAACTTTCGTTCTCAATCTAAGCTTCTTGCGACGTTAAAAAAATTAATTTATTCCTGTTTCAAAACGTTTCAGGCTATATTACGCGTCAAAGCCTCAACGTATTGAAATGCTGTCAATTCTAACTTGCTTTGTCGGATTACGGGCCATGAGTACGGTTTCGCACCATTGAATTATGAAGCTAATTATGCGATTGATTAGTTTAATTTAAGCTCGTGGAAAATACGTGAGCAGTATGGCGATTGAGCCTCTTTTGCGCTAATGGTTATGCCAGGTGCTGATTGGCTTCATTGTGCAGCCTACACGTTGCCACATCACCATTCTAGTGTGTACTTCTGGCGTTCACTGAAGGCCCTTTTCCGAGCCACCGCGATTAGTGTTCAGTTTTTTGGATTATTCAAGCAAAATGACGGCAAATAAATACACTATTTGTGTCTCTTGATTTAAAATTGGCTACATTTTCAATTAACAATTTACTTCACTGTGACCTTATCTGACAATCGAATTTCGTTAATGCATAGAGCAAATGTATTTATTAAAATCTTCCTAACTTCGCTACAGTTTAATACTTGTTTAAACTCATGCCTTTGTGGCTAGGCTATAGGGTATTAATTTGACTGAATTCATTTAAATCTATTTGTCAAGTACTTATGGTAGAGCTGGGGACCATGACTTGAAAATAATTTGGGGAATGGGAGTTAGTTACTAAGGTATCTGACTTCTGCCGCTCCAAATACTATTTCTACTTCATTTCGTATAATATGTGACAATACCCATGCCATTTCTTGCCATCACATTAAATTGCATTTTAAACACTAAGCTATTGGGCGCTGGAAAAGAAATTATGATACAAATGTGTGATCAGCCCGGAGAGTGTATTACCCTGCAGCGCAGAGTCCGTCATTAACTGGGCAATCCTGGTATTGAATATGTGTTTATTTCTACTTATGTAAACGTTAACACATATCGGCGTCGATAGTTTATCATACCTGTCTATTGGTGCTGCTTCTTTTCAACTTCTCTAATTACTGCCTTCAGGGCTTTCATGCAATCGACACCATGTGACTTAGTTTGCCTCCTTTTCTTCCACTTTGATAAGGTTGTGGGCACTGCGACTTTGCTTGTTGTTCCAGGCAATGACATTGACTAAACTGACTCACCTGACTCGGTTGAGATCTCGGGAATTAAGTGCTTTTTTCTAGTTACCGCTTCTTTCGAAAAGACTAGAAGAGTCTGAAAATTTTACACTGCTCTCAATAAACGATTGAATTAAGTGAATATATAGAAGGATTGTTGTCAAACTTGTTGATGGGAGAAAATGCGCTGCTTACTTTGTGAAGTCAACATCTGCAAAACCACTCGTAGAAAAACTGCTGGTTTGTGGTAATGTACTTTTCGTACGATTCAATCTGTAAGTGTTGGGTGCGCACAATGGAGTCAGAAAATCAGAAGGCTTATCTCTGCGGGTTATTCTTCGTACGAGCAAGGTGAGTCGGTTTTATTTATCACTCCTTTACTGAATATCGTATTTATTTTGAATTTGGATTGGTTTATTCATTAGATACTTAAAAGCAGTACTTCCTCTGGATGTGTTCTTAAGCGGCACATAAACAAAAAACGAGATTTCCTATGGTCTGATCTACTTGTAAGCGATACAAAGTGTCATCGTCATAACTCCACTGCGTTGACATTGGTTGCACCTAAGTTTCAGTCTTGAGACAGAGAAAGCCAATTTTATTGATATTCACACTACCTGTAGCAAAATAACCGCCTTCGCAGAAGCTTATAACCAAAAAATTGCCAAACTTCAATTTTCCTCAATGAAGCCACATTGGCTCATCTGTACTACAAAAAGACGATGTGACAGTAGCTGTGTTTAGACATTGGTATTATGATAGCACAAATCTACCACATGATTTTACATCTTGAAAGATATAATCCCGATTTCACTGTTTAACAGCTCTTATGATACTAGATTGTAAAGCAAAATCACCTGTAGGTCTGCCTGATTATTAAAAGACTACCCCCAAACAATTTTGAAAAATGTCACGAAATTGAGGATAATGAAGAACATATCTCTGGGGTTTAATTATTTTTATTGAATCTCTGCTACCTCTGTGACCACAATCTAAGCGATTTGTCATAACAAAGATTAATTTACCAGCAACAGCACCTGCAAAATTCAACAGTTTATCACTGAACTTCTGACACCTATACGGAAATGCCAGACCACATCACGGAACCACCGGATCACAGCTAGCCTCATTTGTACTATTACTTCAGTCATTTGATTATTAAAATTCACCGGTATACTTTTCGCCCAAAACTGATTTGACTGTGCTGACACAGTTGTGTGTGTGGAAAATAAGTAAAATCCTAAGCTGCAAAAGGTGCCTGATAAACGTAACAACAGTCATGTACGTGACGAATCATCGAAGCTAATGCGCACATGTACCAGAAAGGGACCAATCAACTTCTCCTCGTCAAGCAATCAATGCTCTGCACAATCAGATGATTGGTTACTGGATTAGCAGAAATATGAAAATTGTGTATGACTCGTATTCCTGCACCACTGTGGTTTTTGTTCACTTTTTCAAAAAAAGTAGGAGTTGGCAAGCGCTAAGCACCGGGAATGAGTGGCGAATCGCCATCTGGAATCTTCATTTTCATGATTATTGTTGTTGTATTTCATGTTGTCTGTTGGGTAGCATCTGTGATCAAGGCGGTGAAGTAAGTTTTTGATGCATTTAGCTTAAGCTAGCTTAGATTGATTTTGTGTTACTCAGTTTTGATGTGTGAGTGCAGATAAATAGGTGCCATGTTGCTAAATACTTTTTTATCGCTTAAAGTGGAATGTTTTGAGTTATAATTAGCAACGTTTTGGTTGCAAGAGCAACCACGAAACAATTTCTCATTCATCTTAGGATGGGCATTCATCACAAAGAACAGCGTGTACTTGAATGCAATTTTCGCGTTTATAAAACTACTACGATTTTTAATGACAAATCAAAAATAACATTTAATGTTATTTTAAAAAAAAGTGTGTCATGGATTTCGATACTAAATTATGTGTCATTTTTAGCTCCTTTTAAATAAACCCAAAATATCTTTAAATGCACTAGGTCTAACTTTGCCACGCGAAACGTTTTGCTTCGAAATCGAACCATGATGCGATCAGAAATATTTTCCTTTTACCAAGGCATTAACTTGTGGCTGTCTCTACACGCTTCTCATCGACACACAACAAAAACAAAACAGATATTAGCTTGACAAAAGTCACAAGCAAATCGCCTTTTTAGTCTGCTCTTTCGAACACTCGTTTAAATTGGTGCTTCAACAATTAGACGTAGGTTTTATTACCTCCGTTACCCTTAGTTTAATTATAGGTAGTAATGAGACGTTTAATTTATGCGTCTAAAACTAGTCATTAATTTTGTCATGTCGATTGGTCACAAACTTGTAACTAATTTGGATTAATGGGATGACATTTGAAATTTGGGTGAAGTACCCACGGGTACTTTGACTCTCGTTCCAGAATTGCCGAATCCCCTCAAAAAGCCCTGACTTGTAACTGAGCACGTCACTCGCATTGAACAACTCGTTTGCAGGTGCACGAGACGATCAGCCAAGGGTGAAGCAGTTTGGGTAGTATTACCACTCATGTAACCACCTGAATAGAACTTGCTCTGACGGTGATTTTTAATGGTGTATTTTGCTTTTGTTAGCTTATCTGGGCTTTGATAAAGTAAGGCTCTTTTTGGCAATTCTTTAATGCGTGAACAAGTAATTAAATTATTAAAACGCTTGAGCATACGTCAGATCCATGATGGTTTGGCTGCAATACTAAAATAATTAAAAACACTGGTTTGCTTGAGATTAATTAGACTAAGTAGGCTAATTTTGGCGTCATGTTACACAAGGAAATCCTGGCTTGTTTTTCGTAGCTTTCCACCGTAACATTATGCTAATAGTTATCTTCAAGCATCATTAAATATATACATATTCTGTAGGAACATTTGGAAACAGTATAAAACTAGTCTCTATGGATTAATTTATCATATTATCATGCTCATTTGTTCATTTGATGGTGGCTTGCATAGTAAACTGGAATGAATGTGTGCGTTTATTCAAGACATTACAATATCAAATCAGTAACAATTGGGATTGATTTTTCATCACCACACACTTCGAAAATATGAATTTACTGAGCATTTACAAACTCATTCATGCTTTCAATTTGTTTAGTTAAATGGGTGTTCTTGTAGGTAATCTTTTCCATCTTTCCTCTAATTTTGAGTACGAGACGGCATCTAAAGTATTCAATTACCAATTTTTAACTTTCATGGAACTAAAATAAGACCTTGAGACCTTTGATCGATTGCCATACTTCAAGCCAGTACTTTTGAAATTTTAGAGACAGAAGGGCTCTTCGGCGCCAATTCAAAGCCGCCAAATTTAAGGCAACGCTGTCAGAAGGTAGCCGAATAGAGTTGGACGAGGAGAGCAAGGCTCTGATTGCGAGGGATAATGGGGCGAAATTTGCCATCGCAAAGCCCCAGCCCCAAGACGGTGAAAGCAATCAGCAAAGCTTGCCGACAAGCAATCCGACTCCAGAGCACCACTTCCCGCGTTGTCCCAAAAGGTTGCTCTCGGCCGGAAGTGCGAAGCGCATCAGTCCGGAAGAGCTAGCAATTATGCTGGATAGCTACAACGTCCAGGCACAGAAGACGCAACGTCCCCAACCCGATCAAACCACACTGACTGAGTCTAGTGAATTTTTGGTTCGATCCCCCACACGGTCTGTGGTTAAAAGCCTTGGCATACCGAATTCTATACCTGAAAACAAGTGAAGCATTTAAGGTCAACACTTTAACAAGGACAGTTAGTTTGTGTTTTTGGATTATTGTGTGTATTTTATATTATCAACGGAATGCATAATACACTGTATCTGTGTTCCCCTTTTTATTCACCCAAAAGTGAAACCCACTTCTACCACCTAAGTTATTAACGTACATGATTTTTAATGGAATATTTTAGCAAATTCACATGACATTAGTAAACTGCATATCTAAAGCCCCTTGTTTGGACTGGGTACAATAGGCTCGAGATTTTTATTTTCCGCTACTGATATTTGATTTATAGAAACTGCAGACATGTTGACATGAAGCACGACACAAGGCCCCCAAATGCCCATCTTACTTTCGTCCCGAGCCACTAATCATAGCATTTACATATGGATGCATATGTTAGGCACATGTTTTGTTTATTTACTTAGATAATTACTGTGAGTTTTGTTTTACAGGCACTTTTACCCGTTTTGTATTTTGACTAACCAAAATTGCGTCTCAGTAATAATTTCCGAAACAAGTTGACATAGGCCCAAACGAATGCAACTACTTTAGCCTTTTAACACCAAAACCACACACTAATTCACGAGATCCTGGATTATTAACATGGGATATCACAAAAAACCAACTATGCTGAAAGATAACTCGATAGCAAATGTGTAAAAGTGCTGGATGGATACGAAAGCATTAAGGTGAATCCAGTTAATATATTGAGCACGTATTTAAAAAGGTAATCGCTTGCGCGGGCTGGTTAGGATTCCCTCTGTGCGAATAAAATCACAGATCAAATCACCGTAGTAACAAATAGCCATGAGAAGATCTATTTTGTCTCCCAAGCATAATATCCACATAATAACTCTGCAATGGTAGAATTAAAAGCATCAATTCACATGCTTCAGGCGAGAATGAATTGGTGTAACTGAGTATTTTTGGTACCGAAGTCTTGCACTGGTTATTGATTAGTGTTTTACTACCTCTCAGCCCTGCTAATTTACCATGATTCTCGCCTGAGAACATCTAGGAGACAGGCAGCATCAGGCACCGCCATTTGCTCACTCGTAAACAAAATAAACGTGCGAAATTATCTCGCGGTTACCGAGCCTACATCAATGATTGAGTAAATTGTTAACTAACGACTAGTGTGCTCGTGAGCCGTCCAGGATTTGATATTCCGTTTGATCAAATGATCCTGGTTTTACGAAGAAAGTTTATAAGGAGCCAATCTGTTACAATCTATAAGAAAGTAACTGATCCATTGTGACATATTGTCTTCTCACAAATCCTTGAATCATCGACAACAGAGGATTGACAATTTCTATGATTGTATCACACCACCTGTGTGGGATCCAAAACCATCACTTTAAACTGTGGAACAAGACTTAGATAGTTATGTCTAAAAAGCATCCGTTGAACTGTCGGTGGAGAGGTTGTGCTTAATACGTATTAAGTCTACTGCGTTAATGCATTTCAAGAGGTTTAATAAGCAAATAGAAAACGTCGACTGTCAAATTGGGTTCCAGAAACTCCTTAACTAGTAGACTAGTTGATACCACACGCGATTTTTTGGCTGAAATTTACATTACTGTTGATGTGAGGTTTTCTCGTTATACTTAAAACATTTTCATGTACCGTATCATCGTTAAAGCCACTTAACACACTGTCTTGAAATTTTGGAATGGTGATTAGCTTCACACCTAATGACGTTCGTTCCATAATCTTGTTAATTTGGTGTCATAAAAGTTAATTTTTGGGCTTGGTAATCAATATTTTAATTCAAAATTTAGTAGAAAGATACAGAAGATGCACCAAGATGCTTTGTAATTGCATCTGGATGCACCAAGTCACTCATGTCAAGAATTCTGCTGTAAGTCCATTTCCACGTTATCTGATTAGGAGGAATTCTTAAGTTGGTTAGCAATCTGCAGCTTTTCAGTTTCCTGAAGTCGTGGGTGTTACTATAATGAACAGTAATGGACAGCCTGCTTCAGGTTTGAACTGATCTATGCTTCGCAATGTTAACATAAAGAATAAGCCATTTAAATCCCAATTATTGGTTAATTGAACTTATCGATTAGTTTTTACCTGGGGATTTAGTTTGAAGGTTACTCGATCATAATTTAACGAAGTTTATAAATTGCCGTGGATCGATTAACCAAAAGTTAAATTTCTCCAACTGCATTTTTATCATTATATTCAAATATGGTGCATTGAGCGTAGTGGATGATGAGCTGACGACTAGTTTAATGAGTTCATGTGAGTCAGTATTTGTTTTCAGCGGTCAGCTGCATTCGAAGCGATTTTTCAATGGAAAACGTTGTGTAATGGTAATAAACATCACCAGTTGTTGCACAACCTGTTGACAAATCTAACTGTTTTACTATGAAAGCAATAAATTTATCTCCAAAGTCTTCAGAGAAACCAAATTCGAATCTAAATAAATTACGACGGATTACCAAAAGTGAATCATTTGATTCCAATTGAATAAATTCCTTTATCTTATGTGTTCTCTCATTACATATTCCGATTCCTCTGCTATCATAGTTCACTTCGGAATGCCCAGATTTTTTAACTATCAGCTTCCTCACCTTGATTCTTTCATCTAACGCACGCATTTGCCCACAAATGCATCTGGACTTCTGACTTCGTTACAGATTAATAAGTTGGCACATCCTCCCTTTTATGGCGTGTAGATTCAAGCTCCAGCATATTATTTACTCAAACGGTAAGCCCTTACAACCAAAATCATACTTGAATGTTTTGCCACGAACACTAGAATTTAAACAGAGAGGTTTAATTTGTGTAAATCCTGGCAAACTTCCAGAAATCAAAATCACTGCGAGATAATGAGAAAAACGTATTTGCTTTCAATGCCACATTTACGTGTTGCTTATTAATTTGGAATTGCTCATCAACTGCCTAGAGTCAAGAGTAGGATGTACAGCTTCCTCTGGCCATAATTCTCTTGCAGAAAAATGCGGTTGTGTGTGCTTTTATGATAATCAAATGATTTATATTTCAAAATGTTTTGATAATCATTTGGAACACGAAATTAACTTGTTTGTCAAAATTACCGCACTTTAAGTGACTATGTGCCTCAATTTCGTAAATCTAATCAGAGCAAATACCATCTACTTGGCCACAAATGCTGTGGTAAATCAGGCAAATATGCAGTTCTCTCTGGGGAGTTTTTCAATGAGGCAGTGACGTAGTACCACCACTTTCACAAGGCCATAAGCAAGCGCCTTGACAAAAGGCAGACGCTGAACTTCCTCCCCGTTTGTGTGAATGACAAATTCGGCGGTCTTTTTGTCGATGATGCCGAGTGTCACGGCCTTCTCGAACGACATGAACTTATGTTTCTGCCGGATAAGCTTGCCATCACGTTCAACAACCTCACGAACTTGTTCCACTCGATAGACGAGAGGATGGTAAATCGACTTAACTCCACGCCACTCAGATCTAAAAATATTTACAAAGAATTAAATAACTGTGTTCAGCACAAATTGTTTTGTTGTGTTAAGCCGAATAGCCTATAATTGGTACTTACTACCTTTGTTGCAGATTTGTTTATAAAAAGTAAGGCAAAAGTAGATTTTGGTTCGATGTCAACCGCCAAAGCAATAATAAGGTTTGCCGATTCACTCAGCGCACTTTTTGGACTTATTTAATCAACTCAAAGACATGAAGGCAAAGGTTCATTAACAATCTGTTAATTAATATGGGGTTAATAATATTTGTCTGACAAATGTTTTTGGTGAAATCAATTTTAATTTCTGAAAAAAACAATCGTCATTTGCGTCTAATAAATTTTGTTAAGCATGCTTATCAAGGCCGGATCAAGATCAACAAAGTTCACATTTTACTACTTATTTAAAGCGCTATTTCGTAAATTTGTTTCATTTTGGTTTCATTTTGATTGAAAAATCATTTATGTAAAATCTAAGGCTTGAAAATGAGGCACCAAGTCGGTAATAAGTTGTGAGGCGTAGATGCCGCTTATATTCTAGATTCAAAGTCACACCACAACCGAAGTTATGAGACTCGGATAAGTCGTACTGCGAACTTCTCGAAACATATTTCGGTAGTGTCTTCTCATTGTGTTGGAAGTTTGCTATCTTGATGGGATTCTAATGGTTGTTTAATAAGAAGTCTAGTTTAGCTTGAAAAATGCTTCCACATACCAATCAAGCTTACGCATGTAAAATTCTTCTTCAACTCCACAATAGGCAGCCCATCTATCCTAATGACAAGGCGACCTGTCTGGTTGTAAATTACTCAAGCCTTGTCAATCTTGTTTCGACCGATAACACGTGCACAGTTTTTATAAAAGCAAAGCCTGGTCTATATTAAAATTTGCTTCAATTGCGGCTTACTTAGCATATTCGTCAAAAACGATGCTCTCTTTTGCTGAGGAGTCATAATGAATGATCCCAGCCTTGATAGCTTCCAAGTAGTTGAGTTTTTTCCCGAGCGCCGTATCGTACACAAAAAAGGCTTGCTTCTGCTCTTCCTCGCTGAGGTGCCGCTCGTCTGCATCCCCTCCCTCAAAGCCAGCCACGCCACGCTCAATCGCCACGTGGATGGAAACGCGTTTACGCCGTCTTGTGTCCAGCACCGTGGTGATTCTTTCGCGGAAGCTGGGCCTCATGATTATTACATAGCCTATTTGATAGTTCCTGGTCTTGAAGGCTAAAAGGCACACCGAATTTTACCTAGATAATTCAATTTTTTTAAAATCTGAGTAGTGTAGGTCATTCATCATATTTAAGTGCTTGACAGTCTATTTAAACTATAGTATTATATAATAGTGAACTACTGCTAAGACTATGCACCCACAAATCAAGTACAAAGGAACGGTTTGATTCTTGTATTGTCAAGGTACTTCAGGAGATAGTTATAATTATTTGAATTTATAAAGTGTAATAAAATTGAAATTGTTGTTCTAAGATATTGTCATAACACAGGCGCTGAAATATTACGACTCTGTATCTTTGTACCAAGACCTAATTATTCATTTTAATGTGTTTATAATCCCTTCATGCAAAACTTATTAAGGATCCCCGTGTTTTCTTGTCCAAAATTTTTTTCCGGGGAGATTTTAAGGAACCTTTCAGTTCTTGTGTTCCAAAGCAAACACGCATGGGAAAGTAAACTCATGCAGTATCATTGGAAGGTGGACAACACTAACATCTAAACAGCTCACATGTATATGGTCCCATTCGTCTTTAGGTGAACGAAGTAGTATGGTAGTGCCTGGTTTGCTCAAAATGGGGAGCTACTAAAATCTCATTGATTCTTATCCTAACTCGGATTTGCATTTTTGGTCGATTCATTGAAAAAAAAAATATTTTTTTTTGAAAATGAATTTAGAAAAGAGTACCTGTTTACCATTGACTTTGCCTTGTGATGCGCAAAAACGAAGAGCAATAGTTGACAAACTTGTGTAAATGAATAGTATCACCGGTCAATTAGCGAACATTGATAGAGAGGTTTACCAATGTAGCACTCGCATTTATTAACTTATTGCTCACTACGAGTGTTAAAAAACGGCTTTTAGTTTTTATCATCTTCAGTTATTCCTATTGCTTTATACCTGAACGGGGTTACCGAGGTGTTGGCTAGCTCTCCAAAAGTGTAAGTTTTAAACTGAGATTTAAGTGGGTTTCCAGTCTTCTTGTATAACTCAACTGACTAGGCTTTGGAGGCAATGTGTTATGTATTTAGGAACTGATGAATTTCACAATCTTTTGAATAAACTTCCACAATTCAAGACTTTGAAACAAAATGAAGGAGCCAGCGAATTAGATATTTCGTTAATTGCGCCGAAAGCAGACATCTAGATTTCTAATACCTGAAGAAATAGATGACACGTTCATCGGTGGTGACCGCATCACGGACAGCGGGTAGGCTGTGCGCGGCAAGGATTTCGAGCCCTGTCCAAACGATCGCGCACGAAACCGAGAGCATTTATCAATCCCCTTCAACGACAAATCCACTGACTTGTAGCGCCCTGCATGAGCCTGCTGCTGTAGTTCGCCTGTGGCCTCAATAATGCAAGGCTCGCTGTCATACTGTTTTACCAATTTGGCAGGAGTCTTTTTCACGACGCAGGGTTCTTCCTGACAAGAAGGTGCTCCTCTGCCGAAGGGAGGTGGAGGCGATGGAATGCTGGCATCGTTGAGAGAATCTTTGGAATTCAAATCATTTGTTTCTAGGTTAAAATGTAACCCATTTTACTTGAAATAAAAGACAGGACAGCATCGGTACTGATTTTAACTTAAACACAAGGTGAATTCTGCAAAATCACAATTGTATAATCGAAAATCTGACTGATCAAGGGTGTCTATTTAAACCTCTACACAAATTTGCAGGCATAGAAAACTTATACCTCCTAATGAGGCACCTGAATGCTTATCTGATTCGCATACCCTTTTCAAAAGTTGCTTCTGATTTTTGTGACAGTGGATTATATTCTTCGCTTGGATTCGGTGTAGAAGCGGTCTCCGTGTCCTTCGTTGCCAGCTTAAATTCCAGACGCTGCCCAAAACATTCCTGAGGAGGGCTAAGGTAATTTGAAGTTGTAAGGTTCTTACAAGGTACTGGCTGTTGTTTAGCATAACACAATGAAACAAGTTACTTCTAAACAGAAATGCCCATCAGAGATGAACATGCTGAAATATCTTACTACCGGCATAACCAAGTAAACTAATTTGTACATGGGGCATCAAAGAAACTTCTCCTTGCTAAAACACTGAAACTGGAGTATTTTCCTCCTTTAAATAAAACAAAAATGCAAAAACTACACTAAATCATCAATTTTCACCACCATAGAATTCGTACCTAATTATTCAACTTGTTTACATGTATTGTAATGCAATAATCACAAATAATTACCACAAATTTGCCATCATTTTTGATAAAGGATTCTGTTTGCTTTGGAGTTTAACGGTGGATACATTCTTTGCGTGAAGCTTACAATAATCACACTTTGTATCCACTTCAACCCCTCAAACTACTGTGAACCTGAGGGGTGTGAATTTCGCCTTGTCGCTTGCCTAGCATCTCAGACTACTCAGTTGACCGCTTGCAAAACCAACTACGTGATCACCGAAATTGCTACCAATGACCAGTTTGTGGATTACATGACTTCCAGAAACAATAAACCTTGGCTGAGATAGTGATAAATTGTAATAATGGAAGTGCTATGGTTAAACCATCTGCCCTCTGGTTTATTATATAACAATATATCACGCACTGCGTACATTCGCACAGAGAGTGCCTGCCATCCTTTTGGCATATTCACTAGAAATCTTGCAGTCCTGAATCACTTACTCAATGCAATTGCCTACTTGAGGTGGCTGTACTGATTCCTGTTTAGCTACCTTGAGAAACTGCATCATTTCCTAAAAATAAGTGCAAAGTTGTTAACCAAGAAAACTAGCATAGAAAACTCCGACAGCTAATTTTGTGATCTTGGCTCCGATAAATTTGAAATAAAAAGTTTGCAGATTTGCTCTGATTATCAAACACGATTTAAAAAATAAAATTAAACCACACCTCACGAGTCACACTTCACCCACCTGCGCTAAAACAGATTAAAGCACATTATCAGAATGGACTGTTCAAAAGTTACGAAAATATCACTCGTGTTGGCTGCGTTACTCTTATCTCCAGTTTTCATTTGTGAACCACAGACATTTTATAGCAGTGTCCGCTTCCTAAATAATGGTGGTTTGTCACAGGAAGATAGAGAAACAGACAAATTTTCATTTGTTTTTCAAGTGGGCCTCATGGCATAATCATCTTGTTACCCAAACTTTGGATGTAATGCGTTTTCAGATTGCTAGGTTTTTTTTGTAAAATTTTGCAAATGGTTTAAATGAACAATGGGCTATGATTGGATGGATTTTCATAGCACTAAAACTTACGACGAAATTACATTCAAAATTAAAAACTATTTTAAGTGGACTGTCATTATTGAACTCTCTTTACAATTTTAATGGATTACCCTGCTGTTAATTTTCTATGAAAGGTCGATTTGATTCTTTTTAATTTTTAGGGACTGATTGAATTGGGAATCAGACAGCATTAATCCACTGGCAAAAATATTGGCACCATATCACGATTATGAAATGTAAAACGAACCACTATCATGCCTTTTTGCTACAAAGAACTTGACTTATGGTTACACAAAGCTGCAAAATTTAAAAGCAAACCCTTAGCCTGCGCCTTCGTTTAGCCTAATAAATTAAACGAAAATTATTTGACTATTCTTATATCTATGCCACTAACAGGTCTGAAGGTCATAGGTTAAACATCTTGGCTGTGGTGTCGCTAATTTATTCGAAGTAGTATTTTATTCACAGCATCCCACTAGATCCCAATAATTATTAACTAGATAACTTTCATGTCATACTTCAAAGGATACTTATCAGTAACTTTTTCCAAAATTAACTTTCTGCTGTATACATTAGTTGACCATTTTGATGACACTAATATTAGCTAAGTAAGATCATTGTGATATTTGCATATTATGTAAATCGCATACCTGATATTTTTCCAATAATTGAAAAATTACACGACGTTCCAGGAGCAACTGTCCAACACGTTTGGTAATTTCTTGATTTGACGGTTCTTAAACAAACATTAGCCGGTCAAAATTTGGACTGGGAGTCACAAATCCTTTACTATCTTAGGTAATATAGTTTATCTGGTGGCTAGCTTCACTTTCTTTTTTGTACATACAAAAAGTGTGGTGACACACAATTACCCGATTTCATGCGTAAACAGATTACTTTTTTAGAGGATGCTTATGAAAATGAGTAAATCACTTGAAACAAAGACGTTAAAGAACAAATGCGACCTATTAGGTATGTAAAATTTAAGAGAAACTAGTAATATAATCTGAAGGCACACTTTTATTTGTATTCAGTGTAGTACCCTGACAACTAGTGCCATTTTTGCAGCAAAAGAATAGCAATTTAAGTCAAAATATTCTGCAAATTTGGTTCCTTCTGCGCAATATGTAGTTAAGCATTCACACGTCAAATTAAGGATAATCCAACTTTTTGTATGACAAGGCTACTGATCACAACAGTAAAACAAATATTTACCTGTTTGGGATGTGTCTTGAACGAAATTGTCATTGGATTGTAGCAAGCGCAATTGCTTCAGAATTAGATCATAATGCATCCCACATTCCCAGTCATCAGTCAGACTCTCCTCAAGAGACTTGAAAAACGCCTGAAGACTAGTTCTTATATCAGCACTGACAGTGGCATAGTCAGCATCTACCTAAACCAACAGAACATGTTTCGTTTCCCTCATTTGGTGGTTTTAGGTGAACAACTCCTACCTTGTCTCTATTCCACCGAGCAAACATGGTGTAGAAGAGGTCTACGATTGCCTGGCCTGCCTCTTTCACATAGCTGTCCCAGACAGACAGTACGAAATTTCGGGTGATTGCCGCCTGCTTAAGTAGTCGTGTTTTTAAGTTGAAAGGTTGTAAATAAATCATTGGAATCCACGTCCGAACTTGATGGCTTATTTTGGAAATAGCAGGCTCACTCTTCACGGGTGGTTTAATCCGACAAGATTCGCATGTCCGATCTAGTGCATCCGAAAGTCGATGGTGGCGCTCAATGGAAGCCTTGAGAGCTGTGTAGAGGCCAAAATCTGGGCCTCCGTGCTTGTCGGTAATATATCCACGTCCAATTACCAGCGCATTTCCACTTTCAGTTTCCAGGATTTTGACGATCTCGTGGTTGTTGATTACACCCTAGAGAAATCAAATATGAATGCCATCTATTAAAATATCGACTTTCTAGTTGAATGAAAAAGCTTAGCTCCAATCTTAAAATTCGAATAAATTCATGGCACACACATGTTGCTCAACAGTTTGACCCCAAAATCCTCTTTTCGCGAAGCACTCAATGCAGTGATGAACACTTTTTTTTGCCGTAATTGCTGAGTCGTGATAATAGGTTTTAACAGACAAATAGTTTTAATAAAATTCGTTGCGGCAGCCTTTTCATGTGTCTTTTGTTAAATTTGAACCCTAGCGTGTCATGACAGCTCTTCAACGGACACAAGGCTTCAGCGTAAAGTCAGAATAAAGACGCATAAGGCAGACTATTTTTATCGCGGCAACCCCTACAATCTGTCCTACCTGATCACTTTCAAAATTGCACAAAACTTCCGCAAATGATGACCGGTCTTCCTCGGAAATTTCTGTGGTAGAACGAAAGGGAAACCGACTGTCGATTTCGGATAACCACTTTTGAAACTTGACTTGGTCAGCCTAAGAAATGTCGAAAGTAAATTGAATCACTCTGATATAAAATAAATTTCAAATAAGTCTAGTTTTGAGTAAATAGGTATTCCAGAAATTAGCAGTTTGCTGAAATAAAAAGGTAGGACGTTCCTTTTACACCTTTCTTTTCTCGACTGTACTTATCCCAGACAGGTTGATTCACAACGCTGAGTTTTGTGATTTTCAAGTTATCTGCTGACTTTAATCCATCTAGAGGTTGCCACTTCTGTAGGTTTGAGTGTATTATTTATTAATGCAGCATCAACACAAATTCCTGAGTTGCACTAGCAAAATGCCCTTAATTCCCCTTAGGAACTTAATGTAGATGCCCTGTTTGTCTTTGATTTCGAATATCAAACGAACAAGGCAATTTAGCTGATGACAAGAACTGAAAACTAATGATACAAAGCTTGGTTAATGACACCTAATAGGCCGCTTTTTCCAAGACTCACGCAAATGGCATTGTAAAAGCACGTCGCTGCGTCAACGCAGTCCCAATCATTGTTCTCATTTAAGGATCTTCGAGTACTGAATGCTTGTGGTGTGCTTGCAGTTACTTCCATTCTCAGTGCATCCAGGTCCATTGAAAACTTGGTAGAAACTTTAGCTTTCTTAATTGACAGCAAACCTGCAAAACTGATTTTGCGTACTGAATTTTTTGTTGCTGGCAATCGGTCATGTCTTCAAATTGTTTTAAAAATTTTACATTCTTCTGAAAAGTCAAAATAGGCATCATCGAATATTGTTGTTAGAATAATGCTAGACATAAAGTAAACACACCTCACGATTTTGCTCCCCCATAAGTAAGGCATCAATTAGCTGGTTGGTTCGCTAAAATGAACAGGGCATCTTGATTTGATATTATTTGCGTCTGAAAGGAAGTCAGGGAAAACTCACGTGAAATATTTCCTCCAACGACGCCATATTCAGACTTTCATTTATATTTTGGGAAGGTTCGAGCGTAAACCTATTTGTTATACATGAAAAAAATCATAATTTTAATGGATAGGAACTTAATGCAATAGACATTGACGAGCAAACTTAGGATGCTCCCCAATGACACTTGGTAAACTAAAATCTGCTTGAAACAGGCTTTCTGGATTTTGAAAACCGAGGAAACAATGCGTGTAGATCAGAGGTTGTCTTGAGACGTTTCCGCTTATGAAAAATTTTCAAATGGGACTCGGTGCTACGACAGTGCTAAAATCCACATTCTTTCATCAGCCTTCACTCAAATGCCGAATTTTCGTGCAGATGTCATGAACTCCAGATTATGGACTGCATTCCAGAATCGTCAAAACCGCTTTTGAAGGTGCTATGCTTCCAAAAATCGGTTTTTTTAATTTCTTTAAGCATTTAATGCCACTGCTGCTTAAAAGCCTCCATCTGAGAAAACACTCGTCCGACCAGACGCGCACTAAATCCATTCCAGGTGGCCTTTTTAATGTCTTTTAGTGCTAGTGTTGTTTCGTAAAGGGTTAAATTGCTCCCCACTAGGCGGTCTCAGTATTTGGTATTTTCTGTTTCCCTAGTGGATGGCGAGGAGAAACATGGCTCCTTGTTAACTTGTAGGCCACAAGTGCAGCGGCTTGTGACAAATCGCCTGGCCCCCCAAGCCGTAGTTAATCCAAGGACTGTTTCGTCAAATCGAATATCATTAGTTGACTTTGGCTCACTGTCTTTATTTGCAAATCTTTGTGTGAACAACGCATTGAAATATGTCGATTTGATACATGTGGTCTCATGCCGGAAAGCCATTCACTACAACTTTTTTTACATAAGCAGCTTTGTCCTATTCTTGCTTGCTTCACAAAAGGTGGAAATTGTGACAGGTGACACGAGGTGTGCTCAGTAGGCTTAAATGAAGTAGTAAACCCACTTGCGTACTAAATCGCTGACCTTCCATGGCGGAAGAAAATACATTGTGATGGTAATGCTCGAACAAATAGATTAAAGAGAAAAATGATACTGTAGCTGCTAAGGGACCTTTAATCGAAACTTTACGAAGTCATTGTTAGTCTTAGGTGGCCTAAGTAGTAAAAGCGCACCGGTAAGCAGACACAAATTCTCATACATTTCGCCTTAATTCCCTTTATCCTTGTCTGTGTTTAAACTCGGCACAGTAATATTTTCAAATACGTCATCGTAATCTAAGTTTATTTCATTTCTTAAAACCGGGTTTCTTGAAACAGAAACAAAACTTTCTGAAGGAGTTTTAAACCACAACCCAGGGCCATCGAAAATTAACAAAATGAAATTACCTTCGTGTCAGATCCTCCGTCAAGTTAATGTTGGGAGTAAGACGTGGCTGTTGATTCTGCTGAACCAGACTCGGTAAACTTCTGGTGCGAAATGAATTTTGCATATTAATTCGTTTTCAACAAATCTGCATTTTCGACGAAAAATTTAATTAATGCAGTTTCGGGAGTCACGAAGACCTTTGATTCAACACTATCCACACGTTGATCTCTTCCAGAGTCTAGCGAAGAACTAATCCAGTGTGCATTTTGACCAGTAATCAGCGTCCTGATTTGCATAAGCTCTTGCGCAACTGCATGTAAATGTGCTTCCTTAGTGGATGTGTGCGCCCTCTTTCTCACGGACTGAGAAAACAAAAATAAATTCCCCTTAACCCGAGAATTCCGCAAAAGGTTCAGTTGATTCGAAAGGAGCCCAGTTACTCGGCATACTTTATCGGGTTAATGGTCTCTGTGTGCACAAGGGTACAGTAAATCAACTTTATATAACTGCACTGGAAACAACAAAAAGAAGTTTCAGGTCAAATTCCTCGCCAATTCATTTCATGCAGTCTAAAAAAATAGTTGCAAGGCGATTATACGCTTCACTCGAGAGATGAACTCCTAGATCAGGCGGAAACAGTTTTTCTTATCTTACCTAGTCGATTATATGCCAGATTATGCTGACAAACTGAATAACAAAGAAACGACTCTGTCACCTTCTGATACCCATGGTTTGTGTAAAACGGGCTAATACTAAAAGACATGGAAACTATGTAGCCAGATATAGGAGCCATGAAAAGGTAGTCCTAGTGGTCGTACTTGAAAAAGTATCTTTTTTCTGTAAAGCAGGCACTCTTCATTATTTATAATTGGTTATAAAAGAGGTCACTAACGATAAAAAGAACTGGTCGTTCTCTCAAAGACACGTGTAACACATGGAATATAAAGTGCTTTTGGGTAGTCGTGACCCCTCCTTCAAGGGATTCATTCAAGCAGCCATGTCGAGACACTGGAGTTTTTGGTACTAAGTATAGTTTACGTTAAGAAGTCTGTCGAATTTAAAAGGTCTGGTCCATTAATGGTCCAAGTGATAGCTTGATAGAAAAAGTGTTAACAATACTATCCAAAAGCTGACCTAATTTCAACGACAGCATCAAAATGTGATTCTAATTAACTTTATAGGAACTTCTATGTAGTCTACTTGACTCTCTTTCTGTAAGCGATTTAATAAATTTCAATTCGATTCAATTCTGGACTCATGGTTGTGCTGCTTAAGAGTAATTGGAGGTTAGAAATAGTTTCAGAATCAAACGAAGTTTTTAACCCACGGTGACATGTAGAGCCATCTGAAATTTCGTAAAATCGGCTCTTACGACATTTAGAGTAATCAACATTTCTGAATTGTATTGTAAATCCGGTAGTACGTACGTTAATTGAAAATTCCCCAAAAAGCATATAAAAATAACTTGAGCTATAAGACAATAAAAAATTTAGTGCATTGAGTATCATACAATTATGGGAAATCGGTTTCGGTTTGCTTCAGTATGAGTCAAAGTATGTATACAGCAAACGTTGCGCCTGCACGTGGGATTCACGTGTTATAACACTTTGGGCACATTTGATTGTGAAAATATTGTCAAACAATGTAATCATATCTCGTATGGCAAATTTAAACGGCACCAAGAGCGCATTCCCGCCTTTCTCACGCAAACAGTAACTCGAAATTTTTAGAGCTGATTGCGCAAAAATTAATAAGGAATAATTAAATTATTTTCTAGTTTTTTTGTTTTAGCATTCAAATGCGTGTAAAGCCTTGCGAATGTGAGCTCTAGTAGCTTTGCAGCAAAATAAACAAGCTCATGTTTTTGTTTATTCTTACTTGCTGTTTTTTACAGACTTTACGCTTTGCTGAAGAAGTCATGCCACAGGACGGCTGGTTTTTAATTTAACACCACGTTTACCGATTAAAAATTACTACCTCTCTGAATTTGCCATTCCTAAAAATAGTGCTAAAAATGTTTATCTGTTCTGCTGTATTCTTAACTGAAATTTGCCTTTATGGGAATCCAATCAGTATCAAGGTTTTATAAATGTTGTTTTCGTGTTATTACCAATGCAGTGATTGTGCTACATGCCTTTTACATGAATACCGTTCACTGACGTCAAAAAGATAACACCACTCATTAAATAAGTTGAATACTAAACGAAACCGAATACGAAAGAGTCAACTTAACTCTCAAAGCATCCATCGTGGATTCCAAACTGAATTGGAAAATTTCCTTTTGGTATTTGAGACATGGTTTCGAGGTGTGATGTATCTTTAATCCAGCATAAATCCTATAAGGTTAGGTTGAATTTTCTAAATAACGAAATGATTTCAAATTTTGCCATTTATTCATAAACCCATAAATGCTGCCATTTCAACTCAAAATCTTATGAAGCAGGTTAGTAAACCATTTCTGATTGGGTTTACTTTCATTATTGATGTCCAAAATTTCAAGTACCTTCGCATACGGTTTCAATAAGATATCATACAGTCAGTTACTTGAATAAGAAACGTTTACATTCCAGTTTTTTGTGGTATCCGTCATTAACCCATAAAACTTTTGTCAGAACGTCAAATTTATTTTGAGTTAATGAATAATTCCAAGGGCAACACTATCCGTATTTAAAGCCAAAACTTATTTTATAATGAACATAATAATGCTATTAACAATAACGATGATAATAATAATAATAATGTGGAAATGATTATAATGTTTTTAGCAATTTTACTGGTTTAGTAAATTTAACCGCTTAATCATTGTCTTTCATAAGAGAAATGTTAAATCTGGGCAAGTTTTTAGTGCAATTAATGGAACAAGTTTAATTAATTTTTAATAAGACTCAAGCTATATGACTTGAAATCGGAGTGGGAATTTCATTAAATTTAATCGATGGCAAAATTGATTCATGTAGTCGATTTTGTACAAGAAGAACTGGAAAAAACCTTCCTCGGCAGAACTCAGCAAAGAGAACCGCTAGATTCAGCGGCCACAATTTGTGAGATATCCCAGGTTAATATGGCTCCAAAAACAAGTTATGATTTATTTTATTACAGAGGTTTCGCATTGAAGCAGAATTATGTAGACTGAATAAGAAGTTTATCTAAGGTTGCCTAAAAACGCAATGTCAGGCTATTTCCAAATTTATGCAAGGAATCAAGTCAGCGTTTAGCCAAACAGGACAACTTATTTTATATCCTGTCTTTTCAACTCATCATTCGACGAAGGAAATATTTATGAGTGACATTCAAAATATTTACCGAAAACAAATAATTCATTTGAAACAGGCATTGCTTTTGTTTTTCTGCAATCGGTTAAGTCTAGCACGGGAAAAAGGAAGGTGATACCCGAGTTGCAAAGCCGAAGCCCTTCAAATGTCTTCCGTGTCTCTGAAAATTGCTGTTTTCAGGTAACAGCTCAAAAAGCACTATAAAAATGAAACCTTTCCACCAATTTATAACATTTATTACATCTAACCAACCACTTCATATATCACCCAGTACCTGTTTGAGGAGTGTCACATGATTATATATATGTAAATAAATAATTCAAAACTTTTCTCGTGTGAAAACTTACTCAAATTATTCAAATGGTCATTTGAGGTGCTGAATATAAAACTGCGATGGCATGTACCAGGTATTTCCTTAAGCCGACAAAAAAGCAGTTGCCTAGATTTTGAAATTCAAAAAGAAACTAAACGGTTCTCTAAACAAATGCAGCACTGCTATTGGAATAGAACCAACTAATATTGACAAAAGAACTTTAGAATTCATGTTATTAAGGGCAAAAGCTTCCCAGGAATCAGAATTGATTTAATAACAACATTGGTATTGGCTTCCAAACCATTTAAGCTAATCTATAAACTCCTATCGTATGGGCCAGAGTGCATTATAAATGTTGAAAAAAAAATCGATAAGTAGTGTACATAGAAGCATTAGGAATTTTACCTTTAAATATATGTCCAATAATTTTGCGGTACTATATTCGTTTAGTGTCCGCAGAGAGCAGTGGTATTAACATGCGAATGTATGACAATGTGTAAAAAAACAGACATAAAATACATTACTTTTACAAAAAGAATATTTTATATTGCAGATATGTTTAATTTATTCTGCATTCTCAAACAGGACATGTTGGCGCCTAGTCTCTTCGTTTAGTTTGATGTTGAGGTAGACTAATTTGTGAAAAAATTCTCCACTAATAATTAATAGGATCTCTAGACTTTAAAAAATTAGTCTTAGGGAATAAGAAAAAATTCGTCGTTCCTTGAATCTCTTAAGGTTGGAAAATTTACGCCAATGAAGTTACTTGGTTTCATGAGCTTCGAAAGCAAGTAGTCGACAATTCTATACTGCTAAATAAATTCACTCAGTTTCGGGCGTTTATTGTTATTCGATGTAGCCAACGCATTTCCGTCAGTAGTTGCTATTTATTAATCCTGTCTGTGGTTAGTTGCTAATCTTCTTCTATAGTCACTGAAATATGCCTGGAGAAAAGATTGGCTGAGCTCCTGACTAATCAAAGTGTGAATGTGACCCTGAAAACCGTTACTGCATCTTATACTGTAGACTGTCTGAGGCCTAGTGCAGATGTCAAAGAAGGCATGCATTATCAACGCACCATAACACGGAATCGTCCGCCATACTCTATTACCCGAGACCACAATAATGGCTACGCCTTATATTATATAATACTTTCCATCCGTCCTTGTTTTTCGTTGGCTACTGATCTTTAACACGGACCATTCAAACGCTAACAGACAGATGATTGGTCGAGCTCAGCGTGCCCTAATGTGTCTGCACCATTCTTAGTCATCACAATCTCATTACAGTATATGTGGAAATGGTTCTCGTGAAGAGGGTTCAGTCGCCCTCTGATCTCACATTGTGGCTCTCGTCCATAGCTTATGCAGACATTATTAACTTCATTGAGGACGTTAATTTATCCGTAAGATCAAAGCTTATTAGTGCAGGACTGACACCATCGGCAGTACGTCAAAGCCTTTATACGTTATTGTCCAGAGCGTTTCGAAGGTGATTACGCTCCTTGAGCGCTTGGATGCCCAAGTTGAGCTGACACCACTTGAGGTTAATCCCCAACGATATGGTAACAAGGCATTTCGTGATTACTATTCTTGGCTGTGTCAAAACGCCACGAGCATATGTCAGGAAACTCTGGAAATCGAAACGACAGCGGGTACGTCCGCCACGATGTTCCTTTCGTTGTTCGTATTTTCTAATTCAGATTTTTTAAAGAAAACTTTGATGAACTGGTTAAATATCTGACGGAGTCTGTCGGCAATCCTGTTCGAATCGATTATGGCACCGGCCACGAACTTGCATTCATTGCTTTCTTACTGGCCCTTTTTAAAATGGGCTTTCTGAAGAAACCTGAATCGGCTATAATTAATCAGAAAACTGGAAGTGCGTTAGAACACAACGAATATGCCGAAATTGCTTTGTGTGTCTTCCCAGTTTACCTCCGTTTCGTTCGCCACTTGCAGACTTACTTCAGGATGGAACCGGCCGGTTCTCATGGCGCATGGAGCCTTGATGATTTCCAATTCGTACCCTATATTTGGGGCAGCAGTCAACTTATGGGTACGGTACATTTTAATTGTTTTTAATTTGAATGACACCTAACCCTACTGGCAACAGGTACCGGATTGTACGAACCGTCAGTAATACCCAATAAAGAAGTTGCCTCGAAGGAAGCGGAGTCTTGTCTGTTGTTTTCTTGTGTCAACTACATATTCCAGGTTAAGACAGGTCCCTTTGCAGAGCACTCAAGTTGCCTCCAGAGCCTCAGCAACGTGCCCCACTGGGAGAAAATAAATTCGGGTATGCTAAAGATGTACAAGGGTGAGGTACGTCTAGGCTTCTGGAATTATACTCCCGCGAGCCTTTTTATAACGTTCCCTGATTTTTTAGGTCTTAAATAAGTTTCCTGTTGTGCAACATTTCCTCTTCGGCAACCTGCTCAGGTTCGAGCCAGCACCACCAGGTGCTTTAAAGGCAGGCCCACCAGGAGGCGCCAAGCTGCCAAGTTCGTCGACCTCTGCTGGCCCTCGCAAAGACATGTCTGCCTTTTCTCACCAACCACCATTCGTCAAGCCCACGGGAGACCCATAACGTGGTGACTTCTACCGCTCCTTCATTGATTTCTGTGCATATTTAAAGTGACAGAATATCTGTAAAAAACATTTTACCTTAAAAACAAATGTGAAAGATTATTAAATCAGAGTTGCATCACACTGGATCGATTGATCCAGAACTACTTAAATTATTGCGGCAGACAGCACAGCGACGCAGGGGTTCTAAGTCTTCGACAATTGTTCGCCGCTCTTGACCCGGGTTCTCCTCGTGAATAGAACTCGAACTCAGGCTCCCTGACTGGTCACGTTCGTGTGAGTCTCCGGCGGCGTTCGCGTCAAACAAATTGGCAGCACGCAATAGGCCTGCCATCGGCGTTTTAGCTCCGTCTTTCGATTGCGGAAGACATTCCAGGTGCATGCCTCGACGACAGCCCGGTGTGATGCACTAAATTGACAAAAGCCGCAATTACGTGTGCTTAGCAGTAAGATCGTTTCTTAAGTCTGCATTAGAGGACAGTCTCATCGAATGAGAACTGGCCTCTATTTCTCAACTTACTCTTCTAAATTGGGCGAAAGCGTAGGGCCAAATAGGTTTAGAAATATCCCTGCAAATGTCGCAAACTGATACCCAAGCACGGCAGCCGGAGCATGAGCTGACGTGAGTCGACGCAAAATTGTTCAGAGCCGCTCGTAGAAACTCCTCCAAGTCGCCGTTCTGAACTTCGAATAGATCCTAAACGGTGAAACGTGTCACTTATTTTATCGTCGGCATGCGCAGTAAACGAAATTTAACTCACTACGAGGGAGTACATATCAATTGTGTCAACGTTCATCAACATATAACTACGATGCTTGAAAGTGGAAACGAGTTCTTGGGACGCCAGGTTCGAACATCTGGACACGAGCGACCAGAGCAGGGAAACCATCCGCCGCAGCCGACGTAAGTTCACCAGTTCTGGAATGCACGAGAAGAGGGACGGGTTGATCAAAGCAACATTTATTAATGGATATCGGGAGGTTGAGTCCAGGAAAGTTTTCGTAGCGAAAGACACTAAAAAATTAGAAATACAGTGTAGTGAGTAGCGATGAGTAAATTCATTATTTGTTCAGTATGGAAATTACAATCACCTGTCAATTTGAAATCTTAGCCAGTAAATTTGACCCAGGTCGCCAAAATCCCAGAAAAATTATCGTTATGCAAGGTCGTCGTTTGCAAACTGCAGTGATATTTACTAACCTGGTTTCAATGTGAAATCCCAACACTCAATTACATCACGTGGGATAACTGCTTTCTGGTCTTGGTGGCAATTCGAGCAATAGATGTTGCCATCGTAGAAATCGAGAGCAGCGTCACCTAGTTCAAGAAAAAAGTAAATTCGGATGTACCACCGCCAAATTTCGGCTGTGATAGAGCTCTACATAGATTGGTGTTTTGTTCCTACTTCCTCTGAGTCACTTAACCAGAAAGTGGTTTTAGATTTTGCGTATTTACAGGAGTTGCGGCACGTGGCAATAATGCCAATAAAACAAATCAGGTTCGGTTAAAGTGATATCTTTTCAGATCGTATTTGACTGTGAATGCAAAACCCACAGAAACCAGTTACAACATGGGGGAAAACTACCTTCTTATGATGGACCTCACTTGGCAAACACCTTAAGCGCTTATTTTTATTACTGACTACAGACTTTGACCTATGGGTGAAGTTGATTAAAAAATGCAATTAATTGGCGCCCGATCGAAGGAAAATATTTGACTATTTAGCTTAGGAACTTAATCACTCGTTAAGTATACTCTCTCGGTTTAAAGGGCACGAAATCCGAACAGAATAACCGAGTATTCTGACGTAGGACTCGCTGTTAAAAAAGGAACTTAGTCTCATTCAGAGGATTACCTACAAATCACTACGAATAGAGTGATGCCTTGAGCTAGCTATAAAAGACGTGAAAACTAATCTAACCTGGGGTTAGCTGAGTTGCACATAGCGTGCACTCTCCCCCGTAGACAGAAATTGCGTGAGGAAACTCACTGACACCAGGGAAGATGCGAGCCAGTTGGTTTTTGTGCTGAAATTTGAGAACGGCATTTTTGTGAGCGCTTAACGGTGACAGGTCTTAGATGTGTGTATTTGAGGACCGAAAATTACGTGAAAATGAGTCACGACACAAACCGCATTAGTAGTTGGAAACAATAGTTTGTATAGTACCCAGGAAAAGTGATCGTTTCATCCGGCAAAAATCAGCAAACGGCTTATGAAAAGTAGAGGTCTCGGAGAGATAAAAGATGAGTAAAGTAAGAGTGAAGTTGATTTTAACAGGATTTACTCAAAATAAATAGCCGCAGGTAACTATTTGTAAGCATAGCTTTCTTTGAAATCGGCACAAATTAGTTATTAAAAATGACTCAAGCATTTACGATAGAAAATAGGCATTATTTTCGCCGTATGGCATTTCAAATGATGGCCTGAATTTTGCCTTCTATTATAACCCCATTAGTGTTATTTACTGATTTATTAACAAGAATTACAATAAGTGCAGGGAGACAATGTAACCCTAGCACCTCTGGAGAAGAGGTTTTCAGGGTTTTCCGAGGATTTCTTTACGACGACCTTACAGCGAAAGAAAGTTAGAAATGTAACACGTTTACCTGTACTCAACTTTTAGAATGCCTTACAACTGACTGTCAATTTCAGGGAAATTATACAAAGGAAAAATCTTTATAAGCTCGGCAAATTGATAGTGTTTACTTGTCAACGTAAATTTATTAATCGAATACCAACAAGGTGACATGAGAAGATATCACAACGAACCCGTCGATTTCTAAAATTATAGTCAAATGTATTTTACTAATAAATACGATCAGCCATCCTCATTAGGTATTTTCGATGATCGTCTGAAGACAATGCAGCCACTTCTCAACAAAGCCGATGACAAACGTCGCCATTAATAGGGATGAATGTTTCAAGGCAATGGCCTTGCTGATAAATTAAAATGCGCACACACTACCGACTACGAAGTAAAGGCAAAAAGCACAAAGGTCTCAGTAAATGGCTTAAAACTTGGCAGCAGGACTAGATGAATGCTTTCTATCAGTGGAATTAGGGGAATAAAAGTGGACAACAGGTGTACCATAGCTGACTATGGTACATGGAAAATAGCCTGGAGCGACTCTAGTCAAACGAAAAAATAGGTAACAAGTTTATCATTAACTACTGGAAACAGAAAAACGCCAAGTGAATTTGGGAATAAGTACCAAGTATCTTGTAAACACAAACAGATCGTTTATGGACTCAATTAGAAATAACTCGACCTATCGATTTGGGTTTAGTGATTGAAGTATCAGAAAGTGTCATCTCCTCCTAATTATGGTTAAATGTTAAGTGAAGAATAATAGCTAATCTATTCAAACACGCTTACTTCATCAGGTATAGGAATTAGAAGATCTTCACCGAGGATTTCCCAGTTTGTTTCTGGTAAGGAATATTCAGTATCGTTCTAGAAATGAATTTTGAAGTGGGGGTCAGCAAAAAAACCAGGACCTTATTATGAAACGCATGAAACATGGAACTAAGCATTGGGGTACTCATGCAGTTTGAAGGAATTTGAAAAAAAAGGAAAATACTATACATATAATCGACATTTGGCACCGCGTTTATTTCGAATGTGCTTTGAGATTTATGGCATAAAGGTAATGATAACTGCAAATCAGTCCACTTTGCCGGCTGAGTAACAACAGATATTATCGTAACCTGCCGCAAACATTCATGCAGTCGACAAAATAATACCTTCCGAAAATCCCCCGTTTCACAATTGGTACGGTTTAACACTTTGATCGAGCATGTAACTAGTTATAACACTACAATTTGCACGAATTTCAACATATGCTGAACAAACATTCGACTTTTTACTGCAGCAACCAACAACGGATGCATGTGTATTTATTCGCAATGATCAAACGACAAAACACTTTGTTTTAAATTAAAATATTTAATCGAAGACTACTGAACTGGCCTTTTTTGTCCGAAATATTGCTTATAAACCCGCGACGTAAATAGACATTTACCAATTTGTCCGAAAAAAACGGTGTAATCAACAGCAAAAAATAGTTTTACCCAAAGATTTTCCCACAAAACCCGTTAATATGAAGCTATACACTTACTTCAGTTTGAATGTCTTCGGAATCCGAGAAAGGTTCCACATTGGGCTGGGTCGAGTGATGAGTTAAAAGTTGTTGGGGGCCCACTACTTGGTAGTCAACAGATAACCAGCATCGTGACGGGTCATCAACAAGTAAATTGGATCCCAAAGGTAAGGCAGTCATAAATAATTCAACACAGCATGCTAATTTGCACTATCAAAGTACAGGAAACAAAAGATAGCAAATGTAAAACCGGAATATGCACGTAGAGTTCTCCAAAGAGACTGTTGCATACAAATTCCATGAAATAAATTCCACACTACAGAAATCTACAATAATACAACATACCCAGAACGGTTGACAAATTCTTTGCAACGTTTTTAATTTTAACTGATTAGCAAATGCCTTCCTTTATGGTCGCAGGAAGGGTTTTTGTGATTGTTTTCTTTAAATTAAATAAACGCGATTTCATTTGCGAAAAATAAACTTACGATGTCATGAACTACAGCAATGAACTCCGCAAATATGAGGGGTAAACTACAGCGGTCGACCCCTACCAATCATAAACAGGTAGTGTGGTGAGGCGTTGGATCAAGGCGCAGACATGTTGGACCACCTGGCCGCAGCCAATCCTGTGTCCCTCTGCGTTCCAATGGCATGCGAGGAAGGCAAGCAGCCAACCAGAGAAGGTCACGACTGAGGTCCAGTATATAGTGAGCAGTGTGGCCTGCGTGGTGGACTCGGATTTAAGGCGCCTTACGTGTGGCTCTGGCTTCTGATTGGTCAATAAAGGCTGTCCTATTGTACCAGTCTTTTTCCTATTAGGGCTCGGGTATTCTACATTGGTGGCAGCGGATGCGTTCGAATAACGCAAATGAAACCCCAGCCCTTTCCCGAAAATGGTCAACAGAGGCAAAGACCCTTGAATGCCAGCTGAATTTGTCACGGCGGTCATTCGATGTCCAATAAAGTGGATCCACAGACATTGCCCTGGATTAGGACTACTGCATCTGAAGAGGCATTGGCAACTCAGCGACGACGACTTGGACAGCGAAAGCCAGCTGGACTGCATCTGCGAAGGACCTTCAATGGACGATGAGTCTTTCCTGCAAGTCTACAAGATCAAGGTCCCTCGTCAACTATTCGCATGAGCCACTATCCTGCCTGATGCCGGGTGCGGGGAGTGTCGAACTGGATATTTTATCAATGCTGGATATCAACAACAGTGCAGGGAACCAAGCCAGAAACTGAGTACAGCTTCACTCCTGAGGGGGAGGCAGTGTGGTGACGTATGAGGGCGCAGACATATTGGACCATGCTGGCTTCAGCCAATCCTGTGTCTCTCTATGTTCCGATGGCATGCGAGGAAGTGATGCAGCCAACCAGAGGAAGACACGAATGGGGAGCAGTATACATTGAGCGGCGTGGCCAGTGTGGTGTGTGGAATGACCGTGCCCTAATAGGAATAAGTTTGGTACATCAGAATAGGTTTTATTGACCAATTATGTACTTCACCACGTTCGTGTCCTTCTCTGGTTGGTTGCAAATGTGAAGAAAAAATGAAGCACCATATTAAACTAAACCATGGTGACATTCTTTTTTGTTGACTATCGAAACTATTTAGAGATAGTCGAGAAACGACATTCCATGCTAAGAAGACAGCTGTTGTACCTGAACTTCATAAGGGGAGTGTGATGAATTTCGACACCACTTGGCATTGGCCAATCCAAACTCTGACAGATTTATGCTTCAAAATCATGATATATTTTCCATTTTCTAGGCCTACTTGTCTGCTGACTTCAAAAAAAATTTTTTATTGACGCATGAAGTGAATAGTCGATGATCTCAAATATGTATTTATCTGGTGACCACAGTACTGCCCACATCAGCAGAATTAACCAGGTTATTAGGCTAACTAAATCAACTAACTGAAGTTATGCAGGCAAAAGTTACTCAAGGATAGTTAAACAACCCTCTCCGTCTAACTGTTGGCAGAGGCCAAAGCTAGAATTAATTTACCCTGAATGTTGATGAAAATCCTCAAGGACAAAATTATAAACACTGTTATTTGCGTGCCGACGGTCTTTTGGAACATGACAAAGCAAAGGCCCATATAGAACATCAATGTTAACCGAAGTTTCATGCACGACCTCGGGTCCAAGAAGAAGTTAAGTGTGTGTTCAGATTCACGAAATTATTGTGTGTGGCGCATAGACGATTTGTGATTGATAAGTTGAGTAATTTACATTTAAAGGTGAGTTATTAGCTAAGTGAGTATAAGTTGAAAATCGCAATATCCATTAAAATTTTCTGAGGAATTTTGACGTCCCTAACAAAGACCTTAAAGGCCGTCCCTAACATCATCTTTTTAACCGTATGTGTCAACTCTGATAAGGATATACAGCACTAGAGGAAGTTGAAAATTGCCATCAAAGCCACCCAGGACGTCTGAGACTTGGCATAACTTCAGATATCCCTACAATATCATAGGAACTCACACGATTCTTTAGTCAGCATCCAGTCCGGCCTGCCTCTGCTACAGCTATCAGTGCCTACAGTAAAGTGCCCTAATGTCGTGGCAACATACAGTAGTTTGTCGCATTCTGCAGGTATAACCTTTAATAAATCATATAATGTAGCCAAAACAAACCTGTGCCTACGATTCCTAGATTGGTTAAAAATATTGAGTCTTGCTGATAAGCAGATAAACTCCCGTAAAGACTTTCGGGCTCCCCACATACGCTCATCAGTATTAACTCGAACCCCAGTAAGTATGCAATGATTGCTGCCGTCTCCGTTGACAGATTCGTTATAGAACAGCTATCGCACACTGCCCGGACACACCAAAACTCGATACTAGAAAATGAGTAAGAGACAACCTCAGACATTGCACTTTATTAGGCCATTAAATACACTCAATGACGATGGCCAATGTACTAAATACTAAAGAAATCTTGTTTATGTTCCGGTAACGAAATTCTTGGCATCAGTAAAACCTGTTTGATGTTGATCACATAGTCCCTAGGAATTAATGCCTCGACCATTGAAAACGGGTATTTTCTAGGCAGACAATTTCACTACGTGAAATATGGTTAAATACAAGCATTAACATCGTCAGGGTATACTATAATTTGCATAGACTGTTTAAGTAAAAAAAATTGCAGATAATTCAACATTCCTAATTCTCTTTTGCTACCACAAATTCGCTGCTTTACTGTACCATTTACACAAATTGATTAAGTTGTCTATTTACAATGACTTCACATATTCATATCTAAAACATCCGAATAAATAACAAGACCTTCTAAATATTTTCCACAGGAGCACGTCTGCAGGACAGTGTTTGATCAAATTACCTGCTTTACTTACAGCAGCCAAATTTTGACCCTTTGACTTATGCATCCATTACACGAAGCCCATTTTGTAGCATTTGCAGAACATTTATCTGCACACATATGAAGGAGAACTTAAAAAGGTTTTAGTTGTTTGAAGCGGCTTTTTTAAAGGTGTGTTTGGTTTTTTAGTGGTCTTGAGGTATTGTTTTTCACACCTTATTGCTGCATGTTGCTGTTTTTGCAAATTCTTAGTACCGTCGCCACCTAACACATTTATCTTTTAACTTTGCTTTCGGTAAATTAAGTATACTATATTCATCTTTACTAATATTTTACCACAGTAATTCCTACCTCCGGTTGTGTGGCTTTCGTAGTATTGTTTTGTCCTTCAGCTTTCCATTATTTACTTTAAAAATGTTTTATCATCTACTGCATCATTTTATGCGATCTCTATTTTTGGCGCACCTGTTGGTCTCCCTATCCAAGGCTGTATTTGAAAATAGTAGTTTATTTATATTGTGCTTAAGACAATGTTGGCCCTTGTCACCTGGACATGCCCTCTGATACTGGCATCAAGTGAATTTGCGTGTGCGAATATTTTGTAATAAAACGTTTCTTTTAGTATGTCTGACCTGGAGGGAATCAAGTCATTTGTGTACGCTTGGCTACAGAAATTCCATCGAAAAACTCCGGAATATACTTTCCAACAACGCTCAGCAGGTCGTGGGCGCTTACGCTTCATATGTGAAGTAAATCATTTTTTTGGCTCTTGGTAATAATGATTTAGCTTCGTGTCGATGGCTTTCCCTATGTTGGTGTTGGGAATTCAGCTAACAAAAAGGACGCCCAAACTAATGCTGCGCGTGATTTCGTTAACTATCTTGTTCGCGAGAGATATTTAAACGAAGTCGAGGTTCCTAAAATCAGCGTATGATCCTATTTTTTTGTTTTAATGTAATTTTAGGCCGATGAATATACTCCTTTATCCAGAGAGGATATGAAGCCCCCTACAAATTATCCATTTCCGACTTCAAGTCGCTCATCACCACCACAAGTAGCCGACAACAGTTTTAAGAGCAAGGGTCCAAATGACTCCTACATTAACAGAATTCTAGACCAGATAAAGCTTGAAGAAGCAAGTTATAAATCTTCTTTTATGGTTTTTTTCGTTTAGGCAGAAGAAGTTGATCTAACAGCTGATATTCATGGTGGATGGTCAATGGAGAATTCAAAAGCTAGGTTAAACGAATATCTTCAGTCTTCACGTCAACAACCCGTACAAATAAAATATACAGCTATTGGACCTGACCACAACAGGTAAGTCACCTTCATTTATGTCGTATTATATACGCCTTTGCATGGCCTCCGGTTTAGACCAGTTAATAAACGTGAACAGCCGCTTCTTCTGCTTTTGTGGTCTCTAGGTAGTCTAAGCGGTTTGTCACATTTTCTGTGTGCTAAGTGGTGGCCATGCTAGTTCATTATTAGGTTAGACACTAGTCTTGCGTTGTCTCTGGCCCGGCGGTTCTGCCTTTCACATGGAATGCTTCTATGTCTGCCTACTTGAGCCTCATGTTTTAGATGCACTCCATGCGTTCGAGCAGTCGGGCCGGTAGATAACGCTTATTACCTATGATTCCATTTCAGCGTCATTCTACAGCTGGTTTGAGTCGCATGAAAGTCTTACAGTTTTACAACTTACAAGTAAGCCTATTTGTATCCGTAAATAAATATCTAGTTCCAGTCTTTATTCTAGTTGCATTGTGTGTTCTTGAGAGTTAGGTGTATGGACAGTGAATAAACTCAGCTAGAGAACTTTTGTAGGATGTCGCCTTTTATGCATATATGAGGGTAATTAGTGTTTCCCGTATTCTGTTGATTTGAGTCTCTGTAGAAATAACTTTAGACAAGGTGCTAGTTTTGTTGGTGGTCTTTATTTTCTAGGAGCTTCTTAGCTGAAGCAACCATCTTTGCTAAAAGCACAAGTAAATCCCTTTATGCGCGTGAAACTGGATCGAACAAAGTCATGGCATCTCGTGCCTGTTGCCTCTCGCTTGTACGACAGCTCTTTCATATAGGGGAGATCGAGGCCTTCTCTGGGGAACGAAAAAAGAAACGCTCCGATGAGGCAGGTCGACTGTTGACCTTTCGATAGCTATGTTTAATAAGATTTCGGTTAACCATCACCTGATTTCTGAGAGAGGCTTATTATGCATCTTGGCTTCCATTTTGTTGACTAGGTTTCTAACCATTATTTTTCTTAGAAGTGTTGTTTAGTGGTACTTAACTAACTGTTCATCGGGAGATTTGGTTGACATTTATAAGTAGGCCTGTTGATATACTGTGGGCGACCACGGTTTAGTCTGTTGGAGTATCAGTCCAAACGGGCTGAAGAAGACTTGCCATCGTAAAAGACATTTGCGTTGCTGCAAAGTAGTCTGGTGGAGACTAGTTTTGTTATTTTGTGTGATGGCTCTTAAGTGGGCTTAGGCTTGTTTGTGCTGAATCATTCTGGTGTTCTTCAATCAGAATTCGAATTCAAAATGCCACCAGTTTACGCCTGCAGTCACGGAAGAAGTCCCGCATATGTTCTCTCTCAATAAAACTCATTTTAGATACCACCCATTCCAGTAGAACTGGATCCAGAGGTGGAAGGCCGTCTCCATAAACTTTTGGAGAGGCTGCACCTATTGCCTGACCTCCAACCGCCCCCACTTCCTGTCGGGCCAAACAGAGGAAACGAAAACGCTCCGCTGGAGCATAACATGATCACAAATTATAGGATAGCTGATTTCGAACCCCGACCACGCCAGTTGGCACAATTTGTGTCTTGGTGTCCACCTGCTGCAAATTGGAACCCATGGACTGCATGCAATATTGATGAAGGACCTGAGGTGAGTGTTGTAGCTATTTATGCTTACATAGAGTATATATGAGATTAAACTCACAAAAACCATGCAGGCCTCTTCCACCTATTTGGATTACGTCGAGTGTGATGAATCTGATCAGAATGGACCTGCCCTTGAGAATCGCTTAATTTTTAAGTTTAAATCTATAATAATTATACTTTTTAGCTTAATGTCTTTATATTCAACTATTGTTTTTTGTAGACGGGTTCCTTTTCGGATGCTTTGATATGTTTAAATTGTTTCCACAAAATTCACATTGCTCTAATCCATTATCCCGTTGACAGTTCTTTCCAAACACGGACAACTTCAGTTGCGCTATGCATCAGGCCCCAAGGTTTCCATGTTTTGCTAAACATCAAGGTCGGATTGACTTGTCACTCGTATTTCTTGGCTAGGATGGAGCTCTGGAGAACTTAAATATTCACTATTGCTAATAAATTACGATGGAAATGCAGTTTGACGAATCCGAAAAGATTCGCAATTTATCGAGTAAACTGAACTTTTCTTTTTTTACAAGGCGTTGATGACTTTGCCGCAGATCAGCCAAAGCTATAAGGAACAATACGAGAGACGCATTAAAAGCCCTGAATACGCCTGCATCCTAAGAGAGCGCAGGGCTCTACCGGCAGCCTCTTTCCAGCAAGCAATCCTCCACACGATCAAAAACAATCAAGTCACTCTCATTAAAGGAGAAACTGGATGCGGAAAGACCACGCAAGTACGCTGCATTATGTGTAAAATAGACAACCAGGATGAAGGTTATTATAGGGCACCTAAATGACTAGGCAGTGTGATTACTCTTTCAAGCTCCTTGGGATGTTGTCAACTGGTATTCATCTCTAGTTACTTAAACATGCCAATTGCAAGTTGATTTCATAATATTACAACGACACTGAAATGGTCTGTTAATGGGTCTTCCTTATTGGGGGTGGTCTTTTCGAATTATTTTACTCTCCAGCAGCAACAATTAATGCTTCCCTTTTGAAGATTGACATCTTACAACAAGGTTTTTTTATTTGTCTTCTGCGCATTTTGCGCTTCTGTGCTGGGGATTGCTCTGTTGTTTTACTTTAGGTTCCCCAGTTCATCTTGGACTCGTACCTAGCAGCAGGTCGCGGTGCAGACTGCTCCATTTTAGTTACTCAACCGCGTCGGATTTGCGCCATCTCCCTTGCTGAGCGAATTGCGAGCGAGCGTTGTGAGTCCGTCGGCACCTCGGTGGGATATTCTGTACGCTTTGAGACTGTCCTCCCACGTCCCCACGGCTCAATTCTCTTCTGCACTGTTGGCACCCTTTGCCGGAAGATGGAGGCTGGCATTCGAGGCGTCTCGCACATAATCATCGACGAGATTCATGAACGCGATGTGAATACTGACTTTGTGTTGATTCTCATTCGCGATTTGGTGAGGGCAAATCGTTCCCTGCGCGTAATACTCATGTCTGCCACCATTGACACAACAACCTTCTCTAACTACTTTGGTGAGACGGCCATGGTCGAATTAGAAGGAAGAACTCATCCCGTTACTTGTAAGTTTGCATCTCGCCAGTTTCACTTTTTGATGTGGAATGTTTTAATTCTGCTTGGTCCATATACACTCGTGGATCTCTTGGAAACTGAATGAGAGCTGCTGAGAACTTTTTTCACAGGACTCGGTCGTTTACTAAATCCGACTGCGCCATGATTTCCGCCTGCATTCGAAATTTCATATATTTAGTTTCTGCACATAGCGTTAATTCTTTCAAGTGTAAACCCAAACTGTGGCATAATGTGGTGGTAACACTGGATGTCAGTTATGAAAAAGTTGCCGTAAAAGTATAGGGAGTGGTTCTCAGGAGGAGACTCAATCCAACTTAATAAATAGGTAATCAGTCATCTCGTTTTGCTTTTTGTATCGACAGGTTGCCAGGCCAAAATCCCAGGTAATGTATCCGGAAGTATATTGGAAGAGTCTGTTATTAGCGATTAAGACGCAGAAGACACTAATTGATTGAGAAACAGGAAATTGTCCAAGGCATCCCCTTATTTGTGATTATTTCCACGTTTCAATTTGCGAAGGCCTTACTAGAGTCCATTCTTGGCCAAACCGTAGATTGGGTTAGTCTGTCCGAAATCGTTCTCTCTGTGGTCACTTGAGGAATTTATTTTAGTACAATTCGAATAATTCAAAAATAGAACTATTGCCAGATTTTGTCACTTCCCCAGTACTTTATTTAATGCTTCACTGCTTTCATTTTGATGAAGTCATCTCCAGACTTTCCGAAATTCCCACAACATTGAAACGTGTCCTGTGCTTTAAGTTTACTTCTGCTAGGCCCTCTCAATAGTCTTATCTAAACTTCTATAAATAATCCGTTCCCTTTCTTACCGCACTGGACATCTTCCAAGGTTTGCCGTTCATGTTTTAGTTACGATGCACGCGGTAACTTCTCTTTGTAGTTTTTTACTTGGAAGACTGTATTAATATGATCAATTATGCACCCCCTCCTCTGAGTATTAACGATCGGAGGAACAAGAAGCCCCGCATCGAGGAAGGGTCATCTGTGGATGCTGAGGAGAACTGCAATCTCATTTGTCCCCAGGGCTACCCTTCTTCTGTTGCCGCAGCCATGCGTCAGTTGCCAGAAAAGGAGATCCCGTTCTCCCTAATTGCCGGGCTACTCGAGTACGTCCTCTACTGTTGTCCTGATTCCTCACCATTGGTTGAATCCAGCCCCTTAGAAACTCATACTGAGATTAGTTGAGGTCCAAGCAACATGTCTGAGGTGTTGAGCATCACAACTGAATCGCATTGTGGTAGGAAACTTGTTACCAACGTTTCAAACTATGTTCGTTGTCTTTGTTTTACTAGTTACATATGTGGTATGAACATTGATGGCGCAGTACTGATATTCCTGCCTGGCTGGAACACAATTAGTATGCTGAGGAAGTTCCTTCAAACACATCCGCGCTTCAGCAACACCAACGAGTTCCTCATTTTGTCGCTCCACTCACAGGTGCCAAGGGAGGATCAGCGACTTGTTTTCAGGCCAACTGCCCCTGGTGTACGGAAGGTATGTCATTTGTTTTGTATCGACATGCAGTGTCCATGATTTTACTTCCTTATAGCTGTTCTCTGCAGAATTCTAACGAGATAACTTCAAGTCGTGTTGGTTTTTTGTAAGACTATTGACCGTTTCACTAGTTCTGAACAACACTTCCAGCATATTGTCCGATAAAATCGCTGGTTTTACCTGTAGTTCGTATGCCAAAATAAATGCGTCCATTATCAGGTAGTGTCAGAATGCTGCTGAGATAACTCAGATCTTTCGATTGCCTAAGGAGATATAAGTGTGTAAAACTGCTTTTATAGGATTCTTTTCTGTAAGTTAATACGATGGAAATCATCTGACGTTCTACACACATATTAAGTTCTTTGTATTAAGACTAAATGTTGCAAATGTCTGAGTAGGCGGGATTTTTTCATAATGGTTTCTGCAGATCGTCCTCTCTACCAACATCGCGGAGTCATCCATCACCATCAATGACGTGGTCTTCGTAATTGACAGCTGCTTGGCTCGTGTTAAAATGTTTACTGCCCGGAACAACTTAACGAGTTACTCCACGGTGTGGGCTAGTCTCACGAATCTGGAACAACGCCGGGGTCGAGCTGGTCGTGTCCGAGCCGGTTTCGCCTTCCACCTCTGCAGTCAAGCTCGTCTAGCTAGACTGGAACAACATGCCACACCCGAAATCCTTAGAACCCCCCTTCATGAGCTGGCACTTATGGTCAAGTTGCTCCGCCTTGGTGACATCCAGGAATTTCTCAAGAAGGCCCTCCAACCACCACCCATTGATGCTGTCATCGAAGCCGAGTATACTTTGCGCGGTACTATTTTTTAGTTTCGTGTTTGTGATTGAATGAACGCTGTACATCTCTCGCCTGGATTTCCTTTGGCTGTTTACTTTAGTTTCCATAATGACATCTTGGTAGACGCGACTTTAATTTGAACCTCATATGCTAAAGTCTATTATCTCCCGTGAAAGGAAGCTGTTTTGTAAAAGGCCTTCACTAAATTCGTATTCTCTTGTGGTCAATTTGTGCCGCTCTTGTGTGATGCAAAGAACGTAACACCCTACTCCATTAAACTTGAGTAGTAGATCGTAGTAACGTCAAATCGTAAATTCTTCCATGATTGTGTAGTGTGTACCAATTTGCTAAATGGTCTTTCGCCGTTACAAAACTTGTCTCGTGGAATAGACTGTTTAACAATGACCCATTGTCTTTCATCGCGGTTATAAGAATCATGCGTTACGGTGGGATTTTTGTGTTCTTTTTCAGAGATGAAGGCGCTCGACTCAAATGATGAACTGACGCCCTTGGGGCAAATTTTGGCTCGCCTCCCAATCGACCCGCGGCTTGGTCGTATGCTCGTCTTTTCTTGTATCTTTAAACTGGGCGGGGCGATGGCTCTGCTTGCTGCTCATTCTTCCTTCGGCACTGACGTCTTTTTAATGCCACCTGATCGACGGCGGCTGTCGTGGGACCAGATCCGCTTTGCCGCACGCACCAATTCGGACCACCTCACCATGCTCAACGTCTTCCAGGCCTGGTCGGCCGAACGACAACGCGGTGGGGACCAGGCAGCCAATTATCTGTGTGATGCAAAGGAAATCAATGGCTTTTCTCTGCGGGTAATCGAAGATGCAGCAAATCAGGTTAGTCATGAACGAATGGTTGCAGCATTACCTGATTCAGCAGCATATGCGCACCCAAAGTCAGTCAATGTCAGAGGTCAGATGGGCTAACTCGGATCTTTATATTCTGCAAATAAATCGATTTAGAAAGACACAGTTTGACGCAAAGGGCATAATATGCTCGCTTTGTGCAAACTGTTCCCGATTTTTTTGAAGGAAAGTGTGCTTTTGGTATGTTGTATATTAACGGGGTTTTCGTTTTTTCCAACGATGCAGAATTCCCTTCTCTCAATTCTTCAGGTCCTTAAGCACTCCTCTACGAATCTTACCAAGGTTAATTTTATTGTTCTACTTCAAGTTAGTTTTTTGCTTGTTTAGATTCGAAATATCCTCATTAGTATGGACTTCCCCGAATCTGTACTTTCTGACAGCCCTATCAACTTCAAGAGTCCAACCTGCGCAACTCACGACTACATCGCAGCCATGCTAACCAACGGTCTTTACCCCAATATCGCTTACCATGTTGAAAAACGGAAACTTCTCACAGCGGAGGGCAAATGTGCTCTGGTGCATAAGGGCTCAGTCAATTGTGTCAAGAGCCCCAACTTTCTTTTTCCTCTCTTCACATACACTGAAAAGGTAATCCCATTCACTGTGGATTATGCTTCCTCATATTTTTTACTACTAATTTTCTGTCCTTTCCGATATGCTCGTAAGCCCATCTGCTTCTTTATCCCATGAGCCAGACATTGCCATGTGAGTCGTGGACCATTACCAGAGTATCTACTATCCCTTCCTTTTTTTCTTAAGGATTCACTTCTGCTTGCATCTACGGATTTGATTTTATGTAAGTGGTCCAATGCAGGCACGCTAACTTTTCCAGAAATTCTTAGCGCCTAAACTTGATATGCACGTCACAAGCTTCTGTGAAAGTATCTGGAATTGGTAGCTGCGCGCCTAAGTTTGAATCCATCTTTTCATAAAAAAAAAACGGTTTACTAAGTCAGTATCCAAAATGGGGAAGAAGCTTTTGCTCCCTTTGTTGTAGTGATCCTGTTTAAAACTAAATAATTCTATTGTTACAGATCCGAACTCAAGCGATAAGCTGCAAAACCCTCACGATGATAACTCCAATCCAGTTGCTGCTTTTCGGTTGTCGCCGTGGCGTCTGGAGGCTGGAAAACGGCGGGAACGTAGCCTCCCCAGAGCATGGTGTGGTGCTTCTTGACGACTGGATCCCTCTCCGAATGCGCTACGCCACCGCTGCACGTATCTTCGCTCTTCGACCCGCCTTGGAGGCTCTTCTCGTTCGCGTCTGTCTCCAACCCGCCTGCCTAAGCAACCTCTCGCTCGTCGATGCCAGCGTAATAGAAATGACTGAGGAGTTGTGCCGGAACACAGCTTTAATGGGCGTGAATGGAGGTGGACTGACCACTCCTGGGGGCTATCAGTCAAGCGAGAACAGGTTCAATGTAGACTATAATCGTCCCTTCTTGTCAGATTGTCGTCGACAAATTGGGCCGGAGATTGACTCCTCTACGTTTAACCGTTACGAAGCCCGCAGTGATTGCGTTGGCGAGAGGGGTCATGGTTACGGCGGACGGTCGAGTAGAAGCTATGCTTATGAGAGGTTTGTTTGGGTTTTTGTTAAAATTCTCCTTAGGATGTGTGGTTTTATCGGCTTTTTATTCTTATGGAGTTTTGCTATTTCATATTAATGCAGCAGGTTTCATGGACATGAAAATTAAGTGCTGGGATTTGTTGCAAATCCTCAAATGTTTGTGGATTGTGGTATATTCGTCAGTCATCCGTCTTAAAATAGGTGAAGCGGACCCCCATTTTCTTCTCTCTTGTATACTTTAAACATAATTGGCTAAGTGTTATTTCGTCTAAAATAACCCGTTTAAATGCAAAGCCGAGTCGACTTTCCAATACGTTAAACAAATCGGCTTGAACACCTATGCATCCAGGCGAACTTGCACTCACTTGAATTACATTGCTTTGATTGGATTCCAGTGGTTGTGGGAGAATTAATTTGTACTATGCTAATTCATTTTCGTCCATTCAGAGGTCAGCTACATAAGACTGATTGTTAGTTAAATGACCATAACCTCAATTTCAGACGTTGTGAAAATTTGACGGATATCGCTCCAAAACGCAGGATGGATTTGTAATAAGGTGCCTCCAGTGGGTTATAGATAGTTTTCATTTTTTGTGTTCACAAATTTAGTTGTTATAAGCAGATTAGCTCTCAAAGTTATTTAGTGTTGTTTAGCATGTCATTTCTAGTAGTATTTGTGTACACTTCAAAAAGGATATTTCTTGAGCAAACTTGCGTACATTTTTTGCCCGTTGGCATTTCATGTGTGCGTCTGCAGGCGACCCAAATAATAGTTATTTGTAATAAAGGTGCGATTTGTGGTTGCGTTTCCCGAGTACGTTTCTTGAAACGCCTGCAATACCACCAGATTCCTAATTAACTGTGTAATTGTATAATTATTTTTTTTTGCATCAAGCAATCATCCCGATCCCTATTCTCGTTTTGGACCTCGTGGTTTTAAAAGAGATTATTCGTGTACTCAAGAGGCTCTACATCGACCTGCTCCTTACCCTTCTAGTCGTTGCAACGAGTCCCCATCAAATAGCGATTATTCGCCCAGAGCATCAATTCATTATGACAATTTCCGGTACCCCCATCATCCGCCAACTTTCCCACCAAGATTGCACGATATAAGTTCACAACAGTATCCAGGGCCATCGGACCCCCCACCCCCACACTAAGTCTTGTGTACGGATTTATATGTCGTGCCTTACTATCAATTACTCTCATTAACCTACCTTTATCGCTATTAGAACAAAATATTTTGTACACTATGCCTGTTGTCCTGTAGTGATTGAGTTCGTCAGGGTTATCATCTGCATCACATTGTTGCTTGAGTTTTCGCATGCATTTGTTTGAATTTCTGCGGATAAATTCAACATTATAATGCAGTCGAATCCCGATCTGACTCATACAGCGCCACAACAATTAATGGCTCACCAAAAGTTAGTGTGGTAAGAACCAATTCACGGTTGTTTGGGAATTTCACATTCAAATATCTGTGAGTGGACAAGTAGAAGAAGGATTAAGAGGATAATATAGCTCTTCAATATTAGGTCCAAGTAAGATACAAATAAAGGCTTTTTTCATTTTTTTTGCTGTTCTATCATTTTCTAGGATAGCATTGGGTCTGTATCGCTGTCATTTGAACATACAAAATAATCCCACAAGGTCACCGCGTTAACTAGGTAGATTGTACTCTTTTTTGACCCGCAAGCACTAGTGATCATTCAGGTGTGGATTGCCATCGATGACGGGAAAATCAATTTGAAAAAATGCGAGATTAGGATAAATTAAAAATTTTCCAAAAATCTAAAGCAGACATGAACGGATCATTAAAGCATTGAACAACACTAAAAGCCTTTTTCCGAATTTAAGGAATAAAAGAGCAAAAATTTGGATTCAGGTGTAATGTTTTTAATAAATAATATGAAAATATGCTTTTGGTTCCTTACTAAGCGTGATTCCCTATCTTTCTTGTAATGTGCAATATGTTATGCTGCATAGACATTTGAATTAATCAGGCTTGTTGTAAGACAATTATTCAGATAACTTTTTTGACCTGTACCATAAGCTATTGTGATTTTTTGTTTTAACTGGCCATCCGAATTCTGCCATATTGAATCTTCTGAGGGCTGATTGGTTTGGTGTTTTGCTAACTTAGAAGCCAGCAGATTGAAAATGCAGCTTTTGTCACGGCGCCCGTTGTTTTACCCATGGCAGCATTTGTATTCATCTCTCAAAGTACAATCCTTTGTAGCCCGCATTCATACCTCTTTTCTATATCGTTACTCCCTTGTCCCCATTGTCCTTGACAAAACGGGCCTCGGTGAACGTGCTTATGATATCTATTCCAGGTTATTAAAGGATAGAATTGTGTGTGTTATGGGCCCAGTAACTGATGAGATGTCAAGCCTGGTTTTGGCACAGTTGCTTTTTTTGCAGTCTGAAGATAAACGTGCACCCATACACCTGTACATAAACAGCCCGGGTGGTGTCGTTACGTCTGGGTTAGCGATATACGACACAATGCAATACATACGACCACCTATCCATACCTGGTGCGTAGGTCAAGCATGTAGCATGGCGTCTCTTTTATTGTCGGCCGGTTCGCCTGGTCACAGATATGCCCTGCCCCATGCACGAATAATGGTTCACCAGCCCTCTGGTGCAGCTCAAGGTATGGGCTTTAGCTTCTGCTAACGTCGAATTAGGTCAAGCGACAGATATACAGATTCACGCTGAGGAAATCATCAAGACGCGCAAAATGCTGAATGGACTTTACGCTAAGCATACAAGCCAACCTATGGATGTGAGTTTGAGTTGATCTAGTTACCAATTAATATCTTTGGCTTTAGTTTTTGAAATCTACCTAAATCCAGTGTCGTGCGCTATACATTAAAGGTGAAAGTAATGGTTGGAAATGTGAGCTCAGTGGATACGTAATGCTATAATTATTAAGGTAACCAAGGCAATGCGTACTTTTTTGTCATCAGCTACTTCAGTGTTATAAGTGTGGTCACATGTTGGTAAAACATCCTGGCTATCTGCTATTTATTATAGAAACTGTTGATCTGTTTGCAACAAAAACATCCTTTCCCCTAGTTACTCGTTAGCTTTATTTAGTAATGTAGAGACTCTAATAGTCACACAGAAGTTGACTCTGACCTTATTTCTGAGTTCATGTTGTCAACTTAAAGTTTTGCCTTTAGACAATTGAAAGGTGGATGGATCGTGACTTCTTTATGACCGCTGAAGAAGCAGTGCAAGTTGGCCTTGTCGACAAGGTAGTACAACCTTCCCCGGCGTCAGAGGAAAAATGTGAAGAGTATTATAAACAAAACTGAACTCGCAAATGCCTTCATTATCCACTCCTTTTAATTTTGTATTTATTAAATTATAGAACCCTAAACCACATTTTTTTGCATGGGCTTCCTAGCATGTGGCATATTGCACGAGTTCCTATAGTGGATTTTAACCATTGATCTCACTTAGACGATCGAATTTATTTAGTTAAAATTTTCTTATTTAGCCCTAGACGCGCTGTGTAGCAGTTTTTTCCGATGCTTCTGTTTTGTCTAAAAGACCATTATTCGTGGTGTAATGACCCCTTTGTTCGGTTGGCTGTAGCATGACTTTATTTGGTTATTGCTTGCGTAATAGTGAGTTTTGGCTCTAATTCTTCATTCATTCAATTTAAACCGTTTTACACACTTGAAATTCTTTTATTTTGTTATAATTGTGACCTATTTATTCATAACAAAATGTAACCGAACAAAGTGTAGGCTACGAGGGGATTCGCTCACTAAAATGTATCCTTTTCGGAGATTAACTTACTGGGTCAGTGGGGACCAGTGCATGTCTGCTCAATCTAAAAATTGCTCTGGATACCTAAAGTAGCATCTATTATTGAACGGTGCCGCACACCAGCCATTTTTGCTTAATTCATAGCTCTCTTAGTTGTATATACAAAAGACGATAATCAAGAGAATTAAGAAGTGACTATGGATGAGATCGTTACATTTAGGTTCCGTCCTCAATTGCTCGATGACTTACCGGGGTCACTGCTTCTCTTTTCTCCCACTCCAGCAGAAAACTTGGGATTCAGCTTAGGTGCCCGCATCTTACATCACGGAAATTTATTCGTGGGTTCAGCGCTTATGATCTTAGGCCTTCGATGTTCTGGGTTGTATACTTAGCAAAATATGGTTTTTTTCGCACCAGATTTTTTTGGGATTTGCTCTGTGCTCAATTAAATCAATCAATTTAGCGTGGGGAGAGGGAGGCTTTTGTGTGTAAGAACCCATGATAACTCAGATGTTAAACCAGTTCTGTGATGATGCATGCACAATTTCCACTTGAATTACTTTCATTCAAATGGAACAACTGTGGGTTTCTCCACAATACCTGATTAAAAGCATACGCATGGCTTCGGTCTTTTTTAGATATCCATAAGCTGTCGTATTCACGCTGTACTTGGTGCTTATAGAAAACAATGAAGCAAAACGTCATCAGTCAGTACTCTAATAGCGTATTAATTACTTTGAATGTGAAATAAGGTCGGTTTTGGTTCTAGTAAAAGAAGAATCCCAAGCATTTGCTCTAATGCAGGTACAATGCATATTAGTAAATGAACCATCTATCGTACGCAGTTTTCGCTCAAAGGTTCAAAATCAGCACCATCTGTATTCAGATGAGCATATAAATTATTTCCTTACGAATTTCTACTAAAATAGTAGTAACAATTATTAATCACTCTCATACACTACTTTTGTGTGTCTAGGCATTTAAAACCGTCTGGGTTTCTCCGTCCAGTGTTTAAATTAAATTGATACCACTAACCGAAGGCACGTATAGGTCATCCAGTGACATTGGCAACTCAACTGCCCATGAAACCCCTTGGTATTTTTTTGTGTTCATGACTCCAAATTTACCATGACTTAGTGAGTCACCTCTACAAATTAGTTATGGGGTTGGGTAAGTGTTAATTTTAGTGCCACATTCTTTGCTTTCAAGTATAAGGCATTCGAAATAAATTATTAGGTAACAGCATAGGGAGTGGCTTGTCAGTATGATTAGTAATATGTAAATGGGTTGAATTCCTGTACTATGCGAATGTTTCTCCTGACTAGATCTAATCTTCTCGAGTTCTTACTTCAAAAATACAAACCTCACACACGTACTTTACGTAGAATAAAAAATGACAACCATAATAAAGTCTCACAGGATCCAACCTTGTATAGGATTTTAGTAAGCGCGACCATCCAATCAAATCAAATATGATCTGGAACGGCGCACCTGAACATAAGCACTTGATTAGTTCTGCAAATCTAAAAGAAGTTTTTTTCGTCAGATCTGCTTGAATAGAGAAAATAAATAAGCGTAACTTGCAATCGATCACGATTTTCTTGAGTCATCTCGTTCAGCCCTCAGAGTAGGCTATGAAGTCCCCAAAATAGAATGGGCTGGAACCGTTACCTGATTGAAGATTTTTAGAACTTGTATTATGGATCTGAGATTTCCAACTAAGGGCTAAGCTAGCAGGCTTAATGACGGGCGTTGTATGTGTAATAGCATGCCCGATTTCCCCATAACAACAGCATTCGCGTTTGGTTAGATGCGGCAAACTAGTCCGAGCGCTAACGCGGGAACTGAAGTGCGTTCGCCTGTGTCGAATCGTGGCGGCGGGGACAGTGTAAATCCACGCAGTGACAGTGGCAGCGGCGGACACACAACAAGCCTTGTTGATAAGCTCAACACAATGTCTCGAGTTCGGCGCAGACGACAAGAAGCTGAGGCCCTAGCTACTGAGGCTCGACAAGCCATGGAAGACCCTCTGATGCCCATCACACCCGAAATAGGACCTGTTGGTTATCAATTAGCTGAAGGCGAGGAATGCTCCATGCTAGAACCACACTCAAAGGTACTCGTTCAAATTCACATTAAAGCTTAAAGTTGCCTCATCCCTGGATGGAATGGCTTTATTTATCATATCTTAGGAGAGACCTACGACTTCATTATAACCTGATATTGCAACTTATATCACCACTAGTTGCTTATTCATGTAAAGTGTTAAATAGTAGATTTATTTGAAAACGGAATAGTTTTCGTAATCTGGTAGGCGATATTAAAAGTTACTATTTGTACAAAGCTGTAATCTTCGATTCCAGACGAATTGCGGCAGGTTAATTTAGTCAAGTATAGCTACCAGTTATGCATAAATCTAGAAAACTGTGGAATGTAGTTGCTTTTTTGCACTGTTGCTGCTAATTTATACCCCGCAAACGATTGTAGGAGCGGCCTGTTGTGAAGGAGTTGATAGAGACGCTGATTGATTGGATAAATAAGGAATTAATTGATGAACGAATCCTTGTACGAGACGTTGAAGCTGACCTCTACGACGGTCAAGTTTTGCAGAAGTTGTTGGAGAAGCTCACCGGGTCTTCTCTCAACCAACCAGAACTCACACAAACGGAAATGGGACAGCGCCAGCGATTAAAGGTTCGAGAAACTATCATTACAAAAATAATGGTATCCATAAAACCTTCTTCAGATCTCTGCGTCACTGATCGTTTAAGTTAATCTTGAACCTTAAGAATCTCCTGTTTAAATATGTATGCCACTGGCGAATTTTTAAAATAGCCACAATATATAGGATCAGATTTGACATCTATGGATCGTTCAACGAACCAACGTACTATTTCCTAGAACACACTCTGAAGCTATCTAAATACGTCTACTAAAGGACACATTTTGGGAAGAAGTTTCTCCCAAATCTCAAATGCGTAATGGATGTGAGATCGGAATGATTCGTACTCAAGGAACCAAGTAGCTGGAACGCGGATTTTTGAAAGATTGCGTTCTATGTTGCTATACACTAAAACGAGCTTTAGTGTTTGCCCAAGAATGACCAATATTCGCCTGGCAAATAATGCACGAGAACATATTGCAAACGTTCAACTTTTCACTAAGTCGGAATGGAAAAGCAATCAAAGCACAGAGGCATTAAAAACGTTTCTAATGCTGTGCGTTCCATCTTAAATAACTGTGTGCTGGTGTAAAGGGCTTGAGACGGACAACTAGGCGGCCAGATGGGGTAGGGGTCATCTTTTTGTAGCAAATGAACAGCCTTGCGTGCGTCGTTTTGGGCGGAAGAAGGTCGTTAGAATACGACTGATACAAATGCCAGGGAATCAAGACAACATATCAACTTGCTTTCCTAAGTTTACGGATCGACTAAGCTTTACGTGGCCTACGATCGAGAATGCATAATTCAAGCAAACCGATATGCGCTGAGTGAGCCAAGTGCACAAGAAATGGGTCCGTTACGGTCATAGTTTTTGTGGCACCGAGTAGCTCGCTCTGTTTAACTTCCGGTGGGAAAGAATTCAGCTGTCGAAAAAGGCCGAAAACAATAAATCGACGTTGTTCATTTAACTGAGTTGTGTTGGGTCAAACCTCATATTTCTGACTTACTCTAAAAAAAACATATCCTTTCTGAAGTTCACAAGACCTGTGTTTTTGCACACTATAGCGGATTTTCGGTATTAAAACTGCTCCAAAGGTTAGATAAAGTAGGCGTGGTAAAGAATTTCATGGTACTAAGTTAGTGTTAGTAGCTATCAAATCTTCGGGAAATCGGTGTGTAGACAGAAGGACCTTAATTGATGATTTTTTGGCAAGTCCGCGGAAATTTGTTTAATTCCTACCACACGCAAGTAGCATGAATAAGACCGTGATATCAACGGCCTCCGGAATTTTTGCTAACTTAAACTAGTTTGAACGTTACCGGTTTTAATCCTACTCTAAAATTCCTCAATTCGAAAAAAAATTCAAGCTCCACTAGTCGTAAAAATTGCACAATCTTTTCACAAGTACTAACTAGTTCGTACATATCGTCTCATTCATACAACTATTGGATACTCCAGCTTGTACTAGAAGAAGTGCGCAATGCGCTGGGTGTTTCTGAGGGTTACGCTGCCCAGAATTGGCCGGTGTCGGCTATCTTCTCGAAGGATTTGGTTGCGATTCTCCGATTGTTGGTCGCTCTGGTCCGTCAATTTGCTCCAGGCGTGCGTCTTCCGCCGGGCTGCCAGATCACCCTAGTAATCGTTCGCAAACTCAATGGTGTTCTTCAGCATCGCCGACAGGTTGAAGTCATCACTGACGCAAATGACGCCACCGGTAAGCTTTTCCGCGTTCACAATAACATGCCTCAATTTGCAAAATGCCGCTTACATAGCTAGACTCATCCCACTAACAAAACAAGCAGAGCTTTCTTATTTTTTTTCTAAAATCCCTTTATTAACCAAGTGAAATTTATAGAAACGGGGGCAAAGTATTGGGAACACACACATACACATGGGAATATTACTTAATGAGGACATAGAAGGCCAGCAAATTACACATTTGTAACCCTTTCGAATTTCCTGTGTCAATGCACTGCCCTCTCGAATGTTCCCTATTTACTAGTGCGATTCGATTTGTGCTAAATGTACTTTTACAATTTAACGCCTTTCCAATGAGTATTTTAGGCAAGAGTGCTCATCTACACCACGTACGAATACAAGCATGTGAATAAATTAGTTCATTGTAGTATTTTTGGTGAATTGAAAGTTACCATACAATTTGTCCAAATTATTAGACGGTTCGTTGGAGCGTGACGCTATCAGCGCCCTGGTGGATTGTGCAGTACCGGAGAAGTTGGAAGCCTTTCAGCAAGTTCTTCTTCAATTTGTCAATCAACACCTCAACAAGCTCAATATAGTCGTCACAGATTTGCAGAAACAGGTACCTACCTACAGCTGACTTTGCTTCGGTAAAGAGAGTTGAATAGCAGTTAGTGAACACTAGTTACCGAAGTGAATTCGATCCGGAAGTTTTTTGTTCCCCATTACTTTTGAAAGCTAATCAACGCTTCAAATAAGCTGATTATAAATTTCAAGGACATTTCAATCCGATAAGTAGGGTCGGTGGTAGGAGACTTCCATCTCTAGTCAAAATAGCCAGATTTGCCCCTCAAGCTACCGTTATGGTGGCAATTTATTGCAGACAATTCCTTTGGGCAACAGATTTCATTTTTTCCATGCACTCATTCAGTAGAGAATTTTCCCTGGGCGTTACCAGTAAAATAAAACTAACTACATGCCTCATTAACACCACACTAGGAAGTACGGAGAAAGACAAGAGAGGCAAGCAAGCAACAAGGTGCTCAAATTGCCAGTTCGCACCAAAAAAGATTTGACAAATTTGTGAAATGCATTCGACAAGGCTGTGGGATGACAAAACACTAGCATTTGCGCAGCGCATCGCCTCATCGTCAATCCAGAGATGGTTCAAGGTTATGTCCATCTAATTTGCAAGTCACGTGAGTTCAGGGGAAAATAGAAATGAAATTGGGATAGCCAAATTGTATTTTTAAAAAATTATGCAAGGTGAACAAACGGAGCAGAAGATCACTGAATGATGCCCTACGACAAGCAACCTTTAGCTGACGGCAAGTACCATTGGTTGAAACGCAAAAAAACCTGAAATATAAACAAAATAAGTGTAATTTAGGTTTGTCTACGCTTAAAATTAGTTTTGCGAAAACCTCTGGTGAATAAGGGGTAGGAGAAATGTTTTCTGAATGGAATTATATAAACTGACTGAAGTTCGACTTGGTTGGCGTCACAGATTACAGAGACAATACACGGAATCCGTGCAATACATAACTAAAACTGCCCAAGCAGATTAACTAAAGGGGTTCAATCTAGTCCGTATCCAAGGCTTAGAACAAGCACAAACACAGCATTTCGTGAAACGTAGTACAACTGTTCAGGTGGCATCCGAAACTGCAGTGTACGGTTTTGCAAAGGCCTCAAGGCGACTGTTATAATCGGTACTAAAACTTGCCTGGATATTTGGTACCATTAACGCGCCTGTCAATAATATCCTTTAAGCTCTTTTGAATGGAAATAACGCGTTTACTTAAGTTCTTGGGTAACCAAAAGAGTTGCTAGGATGCTTTTTATAAAATCTAAACTGTGAGGTCAAACAATCATGACAATAGACGCCATCTGATTAGCTCACGAATACTGTGACTTCACAAACAAGAATACACATTCAAATGTGAGAATTTCACCACAACTCGGTAGAAATTGTTGGCGTACCCAACTGACCTCTGGCAACATTTAGCCCACATGCGCGAGGACGACGTGGAAGGACATTTTTAGCCGACCAGAACTGGCGCTGTACCGTGACCAGTAAAAATCAGTGTGTAAATTCATTATGCCCACCTACAGCGAATGACTCCGTGTGTAGAATTATCATCTGAAGTGACAGTGTGATTGATTCGGTGTGCTAAAATTTTACTTCACAAAGATCGGCTACAACGATGTGAAGCCGTGGTCATTTAAAAGTGGCATGGATGCAGCGAAGCACAACCTGTAGTGGTATGCATTTTATGCAACCCTTGCATTTACCCTGGGGCGATTATCTCACACACTTGACATGTTTGATTCACAGATGGATGACGGCGTCTACTTCCTACTTCTGCTGGGGATGCTTGGTGGCTACTTTATACCACTGCACAAGTACCACTTGGTGCCACGCACTAACGAACAGAAGTTGGCCAACCTGCAACTCGTGCTCCAACTGCTGGAGGAGGCGGAGGGACTCGAACCGGGCGTGGGGACTCGCGCCGACGACCTCCTGAGGCACGACCTCAAGGCCACTCTGCGCTTCCTCTACGCCCTCTACTCGCGCTACAAGGACGCAGAGTAGGACCCGAGCCGTCTTCCGCCAATGACCCACACCCCAAAATCTCGTCAACACCGTTTTGTGTGCATGCGTGTAGTTTCGACATGATTTAGCTCTTGAGTAGTCATCACATGGATTCCCTTTGACCTTTCGTCAATTTATCTTACGTTTATCCAAAAGTTTTTAAGTAAAATAGTAATGATTAAAGGATGAAATCCACCGCTTTTTACGTACGATTTCAAGGCCACACAAGTGGAAGTTAACTCACATTAAGAATAAGGAAAAACGAATTCGAAGGCAAAAAGCTAACCAGCGCACATATCCCCAAACTACTCCATCCAGACAAGAAAATGAAGCATCAGAATCAACATTACCACGATTTGTGGCGACGAACACGAAGTACACTTGGTTCAACACTGAAATCTCCTGTATATTATAACTTGCTAAAGAGCCGTGACACCGACAAATTATAACAAAACCGCGACAACTTGGCTATTAGTGGTATTCCTAACTGCGTGAACATAGTCCTCTTAGTCACACAAAGCTCACCCAATAGTTCCTAGAAGAATTGAAGCGAAAAGCCTACTGGGGAGTTTTTACTCGACCAGAACGCTCCGACAAAGGATTCTCAAGGGTGTAGGCGGGTCGGTAGCTTACGCGCCCCATCGAATCAACAGCTCGCAACTCGGGATTCGGGTGGGTATCCTCCATACTTCCGAGGGAAGTGTAACTACGGGAGAAAGTCATTAGGAAAATTGGATCGCACACTTTGAATTCGGGTAGTTCTTACAGGAACAGAGAGCAGGCGGGAGAAGTTTACAGGCAAATATAGGAAATTAGAACAGTGAAAAAATAATTGATTAATTGACGTACTCTGTGTGCAAAGCAAAACCGTTTTCGAAAAAGTAAACAATCGAGTAGGCGAAATTTCGGCATTAATCAGGGGACAACCAACTTAAGAAAGCCCATTCAAAGTAGGTTCACAAAATGACCCAACACATTGGCCAAGTTCGAAAAACTCCAGCAATTTAAACCCGCCGATGGGTAGGGAAGCAAGAAACTGTGCATTTGACTACTTGCCACTCACATGAGTGTGCAAGGTTCTGCCTTCTAGCAATCATTTGATCTGATAAATGTAGTCAGTGACCTGTTTCCTTCAACAAATATGATCAGTGGGTGGAGATAAGCCAGTCATGAAGAGGAGGCTTCAATTAAAGTAGCAAGATGATTGGCCCAAAACTTACCCTACATCGTAGAGTGCGCAGTAGGGAAGACTAAGCCCTCGAATGAACTTCCAAATATCAGCGTAGTTCCATTCCAAAATGGGATGAACACGAAGGAATTCTGGCCAACCCGGGTCCGTTAACATTACGGCAGTAGTGTTTTCTAAAATACAAGTCAAAGCCAGAATGAAAACAAAACCATTGGGAAAGCAGGATACAAAAATGGAATGGAACGTAGCTTAAAATTTATCCAAACGGTTTTCAAGGTAATTAAAGATATCCATTGGTGTGACATCGATTTTACAGCGAACGAAACAGAGGGAAATCCGTTTCTTTTATAGCTACAAACATGTGCTATCATAATAAACAGGCTTTCAGATGGCACAAAAGTCTCGTAAAATGATCGGCCCGTTTGCTGCTTCGCAGTGAAGCGTAGCTGCGGTTATCTGCTTGAGTACCTCAGACAAGTACTACTTGAAACGAGGGATATTGAAGTAGCTTCCAAAGGGATCACCTGCAGCGGTCACTTTTCGCTTCGCTTTATGCCATAATGCTAATATTCTGCTTTTGTCAACGATTATACTTCGCCACACCCAGGTGAGCAAGGCAGAGGTCTTTAGAAGCCATTTACCTCAAAGACTTAAGACGATGATTATTTTGAAATCTGGGTTCTTGGTGGATTTTCTGTCCAACACACACACGCCTTCCCACAAGTTAATGCATTTACAAAACAAAGCTTTTGAAAATAAAAAACGCAGCTCCATCATACACCGGAAGACCACATAGTCGCCATTTAGTCCGGATAGGTTTGAATAGCAACACTGACACCTCTTGATGCCTGCTAACGCAAATCGTGGCCGTGTGTGTACAATATTTTGACAGCACCCGAGTGCCAGTTCCTAACTCCTCAACACCCAAGTATGCGCTCGATGAAAATACGCATCCCTGTATGGTTGTGCATTTGCGTTCTGCTGATATTGCTGGTGTGCCTGCATGCGGGTAGCCGTGCAACAGGCAAATCTAAGTTGACCTATGACATCGGAGCACACTGCGAACGCCAGCCTATCGAGGCACACCCATGGGAAATGACCTGCTGGCCTCTTTGACCTGACCTTCGGCCCTACCAGAACACCCGAATTGGCCTTCCTAGTTGTTTTTGTTTCAGATAGTTTGACTAAATTTAGTACTCCGGGCTAACGAAACGGCGACCTGGAAATGGAGGGAAACTGCTGCGCCAAGGCTGTGTGAACGCTATGCAACACATTAAGCGCCGCAGAGTCGCACTGGTGGCGGCTAACACCAACGCGCGATGGAGGTGGCATGAACGGCGGATGGAGGTGCGACGTCAGGCGTTAGCGCGAAATACTATGATCGTTCGGCAGGGGGGTTTGACAATCTGACTCGTTATGTCGCGATAATCTGCCATAACCGTGTGAACTCAGGAACCCCCGGGTTCGCAATCAGGCATTACTTGAGTTTTAACAGAACCGAAAGCTAAATCGTACCTGTGCGTGGATCAGAATACCTGGTCCCAAGGAATATGGCCTTGAGGTCCGGAGAGTCCCGCTTTAACTGTACAAGACTGGCTTTTATGGACCCGTCGCAGACAAGCAAATCCGGTGGCGGTTTCGAACGATCGTCGTTTTCTTGATCTACCCGCCTGACGTCAGATGAAGGATAGCGGTAGAACACCAAAGTAGACTGAACAAAAGTCTCCACTTCGGGGAAGGGGGTTTGCGAACGCACGTAAAAAAGGCGAGGATGTTTAAAGACACCGACTGTGTCAGAGGTCTTGTTTAATACAGCAAACAATAAGTGAAGAACGACTGTACAATCTTTGCCTCCGTTGAAACTGAGGATGACATTTTCGGAGCTAATTAAAATTGAAATGTGTATTTACAAAATTCAATCAAAGCTAGTAGGCAAAACTAAAAGTGGGCTGCAGCATACAGCATGGATTTGAAATGTCTTCGTACATCGATTGCATCGTATTGAACTAATTCCTAGGATATAAACACCTTCTACGGGCAAATGCAATCTTGTATCAAATCCATGGGGTAAAAATTGAATCTCGTGTGGTTCACCGAAGCTACTAGCTTCAGACAACAAACGATTGTTCACATTTGCAACACACGCTTCATTTGTGATAAATAAACAGCAAAGAGTGACACCACTATTCCTAATTTGCTGAAATGTTTAAGAACATAAAATCGCTGAGGCGTAGTTTTCCATTTGGATGACGAATTGGATGGAAATCTTGCACGGGGAAGACAAGAACTTAAAAACTACTAGTGCCTTCACTAATTAGTACAAAAGGAAACATTTTCTTGTGATTTTGCTTACCCATATTCTTGTAGGATGCTTTCAGTTATTCGTATAGAATTAGCCAGTTTTCGACCGAAATCTGAATCTTCTTTTGCCATTTCATAAACACATCTTGCTGCATTGGACACGGGGTCTGGTTCATAGGATACTAATTCTGTAATGTCCAAAATCCAACAATTGACACACACACACACACGACAGAGCGGAAGTACAATTAATGAAATGCCTACCGTTGGCCAGTAACTTCTCTAAGGTAGCTTGAGCAGTTTCGAGGGACTGTTTGTTCTGAGACTCAAGTGAAATGCGAACCTTGTAATACCTCAACAAAAAATACCAGTAGTTACTATAAGAAAACCAACATAATATTTTTATAGACATTAGGGCCTCTACAAGGAATCAACTTGCCTTTTGACATAAGTTATCCCCATGCATGCTGGCATTACAGTCGACGAGACTTTGCAAATCAGTTTGAACATTATTGATACACATTGTGAATTTAGTTTCTACTTTATCAATAGTCAACATACGATGCTACTCTGGCTATCAGCGACAAAAAAATTAAACTGGGGACATGGACGATAATGCATTCGTCGTTAAGGACTGTACCGTTCGCTAGAGTTGAGGGAGTAAAGTCAAATGGGCTGTCGGCTTAAAATTGCCAACCGAACATTATAAAACGTGTTTGAAGAGCATCGGTAAAAGTTACAAACACAGATAGGTTGTAGCCAGGATTGAATTGAGTTGAAGTATGGGATGTCTTGACAGGAAGAACGACCTGTCTGATCGACCAATTTGTAAGTTGATTCCAAAGTGTTAGCCATCAGATATGAACGTTCCACACAGGTCCATTAAATGTATATCTTCGAAGCGATTATCAAAACATCTGAATATTGGCTTTTATAAACTAATGAAAACGCCCCCTATCAGGCAAAATCTCGCCGACAACAAGAAAAACAGAAATGCTTAATGAACTGTCATGCAATAAAGGGCCCAAACCTACTTTCAAAAGTCAGGCAAAAAACATGAATGGCAAACAAGTCGTCTTAAGAAGGTATGGAGTAGGTAGTCGACCTTGATCTCGGAAGCAAAAAATAAAATAACTTGTCTAATTTGTAGTTATGTTTACCACTTATATGCTACTTCCTTTAAAAAGCACAGTTGCCAAGAAGATAAACTACCGGTTGTTTTCCACCGGGTAAGATCCCACCAGGACACAGTCTTTGAACTCCTTCGCAAAGTCTCCGAGACGCTTGGCTAAGTTGGGCTCCTCCGAGGTGCTGTAGAGGTTCTTGTCAAAGAACTGTACGCTTGGGTCCCGAATGTAGGGCTGCAAAGTGACGGTTAGTAAGCATTCTCCCCTTCAATGAACGATTATGCAATATATGACAATGAATCACAGAAATAACTAACACATTAATAACACAAAACACAACTCCTTTACAAAAACAATATGGTCAGAAATCAGACGAAAGAAAGGCGTTTGTGACATTTGTATTCGATACACGAGAAATGATTTGTTAAAAATAGAGTTACTCCTGGACGTCGAAAACTCGCTTTTCAAAGACCTACTTAGCACAGTAGGTGTATAAAGTAACAGGTATTTAAGCAAGATGCACTGAATTGCAGTGCACACCTAACACAACCTATGCGATCACATACTCCTTTCCGACTATATTGTAGATCAAAATTGATTCAAAACACTTGGGACATTACGCTATTAAAATCAGCAACAACCAACGACCATTTACCGACAGTTAATGTATTCTGTTATACATTACATATAGGTCCCAAAAAACCACCTACCTTAATAAATTCAAAACCAAGTCGGAAGAACGGTGGCATACCGGGAAGAATAAAAACATTTCGTACAGTCAAAACTGGATAAAGAGATGGAGATCTTGTTTCAGGATCTTGACCAAAAATCAGTTTTGATGAAGCAGGAACTCGCGCCAACCGCAAACGGCAATCATCAGGTAGTAAGTCCTTCGATTTACAATTGAAGACCGTTTCGACAAAACTCACCAAGGATGGATTCAGTTCTAGCTTCTCCCCAAATGCATCAGCAACAGCTGTTTACAAGAAATTTGATTTTGTACGTTGCAAAAAAACACCATACGTGCACATTAAGCCTAGAATTTAAGGCACTGCGTGGCATAAGTTAGTTTGCCTTATTTAATTTACTGTTAAAGCAAGACATAATAAGCATCAAAGGTATATATTCAGTCAATGAACCTGGGAATGTTGATTAGTCAACGGATGAGGTTATGAACACTCCAATACTCAGAAAGTCACAAAACAGATTGATGACATGAAATTGTAATTTTAATATTCCAAAAAAAGGCTAAAACACGGTCTCTGCAGGGGTGCAAAACGATGCATTTTAAGATCTTATTGAAACCCCGATTTGAAATTAGAAACAAAAAATAGTAAATCCAAATTCAATTTCAGTGCTGATTTAAACAGTAAATAAAATGCTAAAAATATTACCCTCATAAGTGAGATCATCGTGCGTTGAACCAATACCACCAGACGTTACAACAACATCGAATTCCTTACTAAACCGTCGAACTTCATTTGATATCTCCTTTACAACGTCAGGTATAACAGAAATTTTTTTTAGTTTCAGACCACATGAGGGGGCCTGACGAGCAATAAAAGCAAAATTCGTATCGACGATATCTCCACGCAGAACTTCATCACCAATAACTATTTTAATTTGCGGTTATCAATGCTTTAAATAAGAAAATACCTATCACTCCTAAAGATTTAGTTACCTTCATTCGTCCGTATATATTTGAAAGATACCTCACCGGGTTTAAACTAAAATTAATATAAAAAATTCTCACAATGAAAACTCAAGTAAACATAAGAGAAATGTGTATTGACAAATACTGATAATACTCTGGTTTGGACCAGAAAATAGTCAAAAATTTATTAAATATTTTTTCTTAGAAATCGCAAAACAAAATGCAGTTAAAAATAATACAAGTTATTTAGCATTGATGATGCTGCCTACCCTACATAACAAAATCAGGTTTACTTGCAACCATGATCCGTGGGTGTTTTAAGGCGCTATGAATTTTTGTACACTGATGGCAATATTGAAATGTAATCAAACAAGAGAGTATGAAGTTAAACTTCTGTAGAGGTAGCTGGGTAATGATACTGAGACATACCCCTTTGAACGCAATACATTTTCGGTAACAAAAATATGTATCTAACTCATATATTAAGAAGAAATTGCCGAAATAATGGTAAAAATCGATTTACCCTCACTATTGTGGAACATTAAAAGTCACTTATATCAACACATGCGCTTAATTAACTACCACACCGATTAAAGGTTAAAAACCACAAATCAGAAATAATTTAAGGAACGACAGACAAGAACATACAGGCTAGGCAAGGACCAAGAAATGCAAATCAAATGCATTGGGCAGGTTTTTCAAAGGTCATCTTTGAGCAGAAAAACAAAGTTGTGTTAATAATTTTTCCAGGTTGTGCCATAGCCATTTAAAAAAATCAATTGCTGAATATATGCTTTTTATATTGCGATTTGCAGTTGTATATTGGCCACTTAGCTACTACTGAGCATTATTATAAAATTTTATATCAGTGGTTATGGAATGTCGAAGTGTTAATTATTTGAAATTTCAGCAGGAATTTTCCAAGATGTTTAAAGCCAAATCATGTGCAACTTTCTACAGATATTTTTGGAAAGGGGAATTCAAAAATTAATTCTTCACCAGTTGTACGATAGGGCTAATTTGGAAATGGTAGAATCTTAAATTTACTCTGTTTCGAAAGTATATCTCTTTGACCCTTCTCAGCATATTTGCTTTTCCGATCTGCATAAAAACCTTAAATTACTACTTTAAATTTATAGAATACACTCAAAATCTAGTTTATACACGGAAAACAAAATTGTGAATTTGAAGTCACACTAGTTTTAGAATCGTTTCATTGATTTAAAATGCATTTTTAGAGCAGTTACCAATTAATGCATCCTGGTAATTCTGTTTAATACTTGTCATAAACGTGTGTCGTACGTATTGCCGTACTCATCAAACTTATGTCTCTGTCTCGCTCTCGAATCAAGAAGCGTCAACCCAAAAACCCGAATCTTTGCATTTATTCTCCAGTTCCGAATGTCTAGACATTTTTCGACGATTGATCCTTGTCACTTTTACTTTTTTTCGGTAAACTTGATCCTAGACATCCAAGATTTCTTCACATTGAATTAACACTATCATCACTCAGTTTCCCACCACCCACCTGCCTGATAGAACTTGTGACTGCGTTAATTCATTTTAGCCACTTTCTTCATGACATTAATTTTTTAGACTGAACCCCGGCTTGCACATTAGATTAATAGCCGAAGCCATAAATCTAATAATACAAAATCTCATCTGGATTTACAAGGGCAGTTTTTCAGAGGCTTCCCAAACACATCCACTGATAATTTAATTCTTATTTTAAGCGTATTTTTAATTATCAACTACATAGTAGGACTTCACTTCTTAATTCATATCCGTTTAAATTCTTGGATGTCTATTTCAATAGTTTAAAATAGTTGTTACGATTAAGCATAATCACAGTTTAATCGGTAACTAATATTTAGATCATCACTAAAAACGGTCACCACGCAATCTCTAAAATGAGCCAGTTATTTATATTTTCTCGGACACTGTACAGAAGTGTTCTCACCGACCTCGACCAGATACCGCCTAGAAATCAACAGACAATTGACTGAAGGCAGCGTTTGACCAACTCATGCAAAACTCCCAAATAATATCCGCATCATGCGTTGTTGCGTTAACCGAAACACAGGTCATATTTACTTTAGCTGCATCACTACCCCAAATAATTAAAAAGATTAAGATCGAAACCCGGTCCCAACAAAAAAATTTGGGTGATCATGGCACGGAGTTTAACATGAAGAGCCGACGAAACCCCTTTACAGAAAATATACTTTATTTTAAGAAAGTCTTGTTTGTAATAAGAGTGGGACACGTAGTGGTGAAGCATTTGCACTGTGCACCTTGGCGCAGGATTGTTCAAATTTATAACAACTAGGGTTAAAAGATAATAACTATAAACGTTAATTATTTATGCAATGTTGTCGGAGTTGCGCGGTTAAAATATCCTGGTGTGAACCTGGTGATAATCAGTCCGGAATAAAAAAATACCATATAAAAATCGAAACATCAATTGGGACAGAATTATGAGCATTATAGATTATCTTGGCTGTCAAAATCTTTACTGTGTGCAATAAGTAGGGCGGCATTATAGCCTCCAACTATGGCCATCTCCATGTTTGAGGCAACGCTTTCGAGGGCGTTGGCATAAATGAGGCCATCATCTAAAAGGAATTTTTCTACTGCATCCTCCAGATTCTCCTACAAAGAAATGTGCAAACTGACAAACTTTACGGAACAACTTCCCAAAGTTGAGGAATACATACAATAGTAGTACAGCATACGAAATTACTTAGACAAAGTAGCATGGTTTGCAGGCTTTAAACTTCACACTTACGGAAAACTGATTTACTACACCTCGCGCAGTCTGGCAAATGAATGAACGCAAAGGCTGGTAGTGAAAGACTGTCGGAAAACTGAAAGGTGCATTAAAGCTAAAATGCGGAAGCTATCACACAAAAACCAGGAATAAGATCTTGTACTGATCCACAATATAGAGCGAGGCAAACCACTTTTGTAGAAATCTAATGTCGAAGGGGCCATTCACTAGACAGAATGGCAGTGCTATTTGTAATTAATGAATCACATCAACTCACATATTTGACAGAGACGGTTGAGAAGATGGGATAAGCGAACCAGCGAGTGGAATTGATAACCGACCCGTGACCCTTGACGTACTTTTCGAGGATTTGCCTACCAGGGTCGTTTGTTCTCCGGGGTGAGGAATAAGTTGACCAGCAGCCAACTCTCTGTCCTGTGTAAGGTGCCATGGACCACGCCCGGCCAAGGTACTTGAATAACGTACCCTTTTCAACCTCGTAGCCACGATAAGTCGGCAGGATTGCCACACCGTTAGTACCATCACTTTTGACCTTTTCTAGAAGGAAGAGGCTAGAGATTTTACCACCGAGAAAGAGTATATCCTCCTGCAGTGTTACAGACAAGTGTCATGAAAAATGACACAAAGGATTGCGAGCACATTCACAATGAGAAGTTCTTGAACTGGATTTTGTACATAGAACTGCGTAGAAGTACAAGGCTGGAGGTCACGGACTTTTTGTTTCTATGAATTCGGCGAACAGACCGCTGAACCCATGGGACATTGATGGCTTACTTAGCAAATACCGTCCAACAACAACAGCACACACGCACACACACGCAAAAACATACATGTGCTAACAGAAGAAAGCACTAGACTCATTAGAAGTGCGTCTAAAATGATAAAACCTACCGACGGGGAGGCCATACTCGGCAGCTTCCAAGTCACCCCGAAAAAGTGTGTAATCCACCTCGGCATACTTCTTTGGAACGGGGAAAACACCCCTTAGGTCGCTGTCAAGGGTTAGTGTGGTGGGAGATTTTTCGTGCATCGGAAACGCCAAAACCACGAAATCGAATTCCATGCATTTCTCAATACCAGACCTTTTGTATGTCAACATATATCTATAAAAACGAAAGATCCGCTAGAGAAAAAAATAAACGAGGTGGTTGTCGGTTCTGAATACGACCACAGGCAACACCTCTTAATGCACGTGCAAGGGCTTACAATTAAGTTGCATTTCGGAGTTTCGCGGCACAATTTTGCGGACAATTTACTCGAAACTCAAGACCTACTTTCTCATGTGCAGAGGCATCATTCATGGGTAAGCAAAGCTTAAAACAATGAATTTTAATAAGCGAAATAGTAGGCAAAAAAAGCGAGTAAAACGCACGGCTCACGTGAGCAAACAATGATGGTTGAAGTAGGCAAAACCGATGAGCATGACGGAGGATTACATTGACTGCAACATGTTTCAGTACTTTAATGGACGCAGAGCAATATGCACTTTTTCAAGATTTTAATCGGTATCGCATTAAAATAAGACAACGAAATTCATCAGCTAATGCAGTGTGCAACCTCAACATACACACGGACCCCCGACCGAGGATGAAAAGCCAATGTCACGGTCAAACCACAGGAGAGACTAAAAGCAGGACAAAAAATGACATAGCATGCATGTGTCTGCTTGCACCTTTACCAACCTGACTGATGGCCGAAGAAATATCCGTGATTCAGGAGTGTGTAAGGTGGCTAAGTAAATAACATCTCACCTTCTCTTTGAGCTCCTGTCAAGTTTTGTCACTTCGGTATTTAAGGAGAGCTTGTTTGGAACTCCATTGGGACTCTCGGCAAGTGCTGCTTCGCACAGTTTCTGACTTATCTGTTCGTTCCCTCCAACGACGGAAAAAAGATCAGCCCCAAAACCGCTCACAGCACACATACCTAAGGAAGGCGGTAAATGGCAAGACTGACCAAAGACGCAGAGTGCCGACAACTGCATACTACGCACGAAAATATATGGTTGGGCGTCGTATGGAGCTATTGAGTTTTACTTAATTATATCACATTCAAATTATCTACTGTCTGGTGGGATATTGAAATGATTTACACCGGAGGAATGCACCTCTTTCGCGCGAACAACTGGAAAAACGACGAAATTATTGGAGGCTGGATGACAATATTGCCACAACATCGGAAAAAATGATGCTACGAAACTTACAAGTGCTTGGATGTTCTTAAACTTATCACGGCTCAGCTAGGTCAATTACTACGACGCATCACAGATGAAATAAAGCAATTGACTATGGTATGTCCACCGCATACAGGCACGCCTGACATATCGTTTGAGGGCTTACGTGGGACGATTTACCTCAACATAAAAACCAGCATTAGGTAATACTACCTTTTATTCCAAACCTGCGAGTAGTTGCTATGTTTACCTTGAATGGCCCCAGCAATTTTATTTGCGGCTTTGAACTGCATGCTCAAATTGCACCCAAAGTCCATTTTCGGCCTAGTTAAAAAAAGGTATTTGTCAATAATTCGCCCTCCAAGCAGGATTCAGTTAGATATCGACTTTGCCAAAGTGAGCATTCGACGCAGCGCGCCACTGAGAATGCACCGAAACCTTTGCTGTTTACATTTATTGTGTAGGCATGAGTAGGTGGTCATTAATGAGTCTGGTAAGTGTGCCCATTTCGCAATGTTTACTGTTTAAATGGCCGGGCACAGACCGGTATCCTGAACTCAAAATAATCTAAACAAGTACCTGCAAACGCATGGAGAGTGAGGCCTGAGCAATAACATAACGACGTGAGACCATAGACGACCTCTTCACAGAAGCGAGCTGAGATACCACAACGAAGGTCCAACCACTTTGCGAAGGTCGACTTAAGCATTTTTGGAAATTCTGGTGAAAGAGCTTTCAACATTGTAACGGGAGAGGTGAACGCTTGCCCATTGCTCTGCAGATCGTATATTCTATAAACGATAAAAAAAACGAACTTCGAAAGTGACGATGCAAATAAAAGTGGGAGTAATACAACATTAGTATACTGTAACACCCATTTAAAAAAAAGTGGTCAAGTTTTGGCTAACCGCAACTTGAATTAGCGGATAATAGGACATGGAGGCAAGATTTATTGCGCACGCACTTTTCAAGAACAACAAATTGAATTGTAACAAAAAATATCGCTGCCACATTTCTCGGACTCAACTGACTAGGAACTAGCTTAACAGTGATTCGTCACCAAGAATCAGGCTTTCACCAGGCGGATAGGAGATCTTGATTTCGTTGGTATTGGAAACACTTACTTTCCAAGCGCTTTTACGTGCTTCCTTACACAATACTGGAACCGCACAAAGTCAAGACCATAGACAAAGGCGAATCGAAGACGATTGATAAAGAGTGGGCCAGCCGTGCTACTGAATACTGGATTACTCCTCCCCTGATATAGCGAGAACGCTTCGTCAGACGGAGGATGACGACGTGCTATCAGACCTGCGGAAAATGAAGACGCCTTAGCAGCAGCAGTAGTAGTAGCAGCACAAGTCAATATAACGAGTAATATCAAACTCCACACTTCATACTACTTGAACACTAGGAGTATTGTTTATAGGGCCGAGGTAGGGAATCTTTTGCATTCAAGTTAAATGTTTTTTTGCAGAAGCACTGTTAGTACGATGTTGCAATATTTCAACGTGTTGAACATATGGTCGATGCCGCTCGCAGTACCGCCTTCAAGGATAAAACATGCCCCACGGAGTCATTTGGCCTTATTGGTAAAAAATTAACGAGTGCAGCCCGAAAGTAATCGGCCTCAAATATTTTTTACCTCACAGAGGGCGATTTGTAAGAACAGGGGTTGCAAATACAGCAGCAAAAATTAATAAAAAATTGAAAAACTGATTTCATGTAATCTTAACGATCATGAGAGGAGCTATCATCTGTGAGTTATAATGCACCATGTTCGACAATAAATAGAACACCTGAATCGAGAATAACTGCAGCTTACGGTGAAAAATGAACCTTCTACGAAAACAGCCGTAACTTAATGGAAGTGAATAAAGCGTGTCGAAAATCTCGGGCACAAGCCGAAGACACCCAGGATGGTCAGAAGGGCGTGACGGTGTGGCCGGTTGTAAGGAGTTGCGCTCGTTAGCCTTTCTTGAGGCCTGGGCAAACAACAACTGATGCGTCTCACTGCACCAAAGTGAGGTTGGTATGATTTGCTTTCCGGAACCAGGTTTACGAAAACGACAACGTAACAAAGAACTTCAGGGGATGATTTCCATACCATAAACCGTTTATACCAGGATCATTTGGCAGAAAATTTTCCAGTCCAACAAGTATGCATGCAGCAGAATTTTATGGTCTGACGTTTTAATTAATTTATAAAAACACGCAATGGGATGATAAATTCTCACATTTAAAGGCATACCACCTGCGTAGACATCTTCTAGTGATATCGATATATGGAGAATATTAATTATGCGAGCTAGCCTCAATGGGATAGCTGATCACCTGTTAGAATAATCTAGAATCGTGATTTAGCTTAATTTCAACGACTGATGAGAAAGCCCTTGTTGCGACATGGAACCAGGAGCGATACCCTGGCAGTAGTGGTGAGCAAGGCAATCACGGGGCACAACAGCTTGCTGTAAAAATATAGACCGCGTGAGTGAACACAGAGGGATTAGAACCGGAGAGAGGTGTAAGCAATGAAAAGTACCCAGAACCAGTACACAGAGGGATGTACTTACTTAAATACTACACATTAGTGTCGTTAAACTACGAAAACATTCACCAAGACAACAAGCGAGACAAAATATGAAGGCGTAGAAAAGAGGTAAAGAACGAGTACAAACCGAGTATGAACTACACGGATGGTATATATCTACCTTACAACATTTTATGTCAAGGTGTTTAACACGAGGAATTAGGCATAGGTCCGTTTGTTTTTACTTCTCCATTGGAACTGATAATTTGCGCGATCTGCGGAGATGGCACAACCGAGCGAGTTGCACGTTCAAGTAGAAGGCGCCAACAATTTCGGCCTCAGCGAAGCACCCCACTCCGACCCGCCAATTTTAAGTCAAAAATGGTGTGGATAGGAAGGGCCGAGTAAACAACGCTATGGATCAACCGAAATCACCGGTATTGACAGACGCTGACTGGGGTGTGGTGGGACTCAAGGGGGCCTCATCAAGCACGAAATGTTCGCACCGAATCAGCCAGTCGACCAGTACCTCTACACGGCTCAACTGCGTCATTTGACCCAGATCCGATTTCTGGGGTCGAGTGATTCTGCAGCGTGGAGACACTAGACTGCACAGCTCACGAGGATTGACATCCAGGGTGGTTTTGACACATTATTCGAACATTCGAGACCTGTCAGATTACTACCTTTCTGCTCGTTGTCAAGTCAAATGCGCTGCATGGCATTCAACAACGACGATGATCACAAAAATTGGCTAGAAAGGTATTCCGAAATTAAATAAGGGGATTTTGCCAAACGGGATCAAAAAATTGGTGGAGCGGTGAGGGCAAATCGTACACGATAGTGGCGAACATATACGCGATTCATGAGTCCATTTCCTAAAAGAAATCACGAGAAATGTAATTTAACCTGACTGACTCCATTTACATTCAGAAAGTGTTGACAGGTAATGGTTACACAGAAACTGTGATAAAATCTGGCCGGACGTCAGCAAGGACTACAGGCGCACTGGATAAATTTGAACTGAACAGTGCTAATTATGGTCGCTTAGATACGTTCGGAAGAACTAGTGACAATTTGTACTAAATAGGGTAGTTTTGCAGAGCAGTATACTACGTGGTAAATGAACTCGTTAATGATAAGCTTGCGACATACAGGAATAGAAAGGTGGCTGTGTTGGAAGGTACACAGAGACAAGAGACTTACTGAACCGATCAACAAACATTTTCATGTATTTATCGTTGCATGTATACAGAGAACCGCCAGTCTCGTACAGTTCTTTGCCATTGTTAGCATAGATTGATCTAACCCGACCCCCAACACGTTCAGACCTCTCGAAAACGGTGATTGATATCCTGTTACCGAGGAGGCGGCGGAGGAAATAGGCCGTGGAGCACCCACCAAATCCCCCGCCTATAATAGCTAAAAGAAAATAAATCGGTGATAAAAGTGTTTACAATTTCCTATCTTATAGCAAAAATCAAGGGTTAAAACAGTTTTTTTTAACAACAGTGACAGAGAATACTGGTGCCATGTTTTAACCTAAATACTCAATGCTTCACAGCCTATTCGCGTAGTCCTAACATCCTTTTATGCGACTGACAAGGTCTGTCGAGTGAAATCTGTAAAGTTAATTGCTGATTTAGGATTTCGAAATTACGTGACAAGGAAAAACATAAGAGCAATGTCAAAGGTGAAAATGTAAACAAAACTAGAAATGTAATGGGAAAACATGTGAATGGCGTTAAGCTTCGTTTTTTATGTTGTTCGTTGGAATAACCGCGAACATAAATATTGAACCGTCATTGTTTAGAATTGGATTAAAGTGACGCCAAGCATCGGCTTGTTAAGAGAAAAATACTTCTTAAGTTTTCACTGGCCAACTTTTGAAATAAGAAATAAAGAAGCTCTGTTTCGATTTGAGTATGACCGCTGTCGTAAGATTTCTGATTTGAACTTGTGTATAGAATAGTTACTAACCATTAGTTGTCATTTCACTTTACACATTTGGAATTTAAGTATCCAAAGAAAGTCACTTACGGGGTCGATAGATTAAGGTAGCGTAATTGGTGGTTAGTTAAACAGTAAAATGTGGTGAGCCGCATTTTAAGTTGGTTAATGACATCCACGATAACGTAGATTGAGGAGAGATAATGGATTCATTTTCCCAATCGGCAAGTATTCTACACATACTTGGATATTTCAAAAAAGCCCCTGAGTAGTAGATGACCATGCATTAGAGATGTACAAAACCTCGAAATTGTAAGTAAATAGTAACGTTTTTCAGATGTCATCACAGAGACCAAACGTAAAGCTGATTTACTAATTTTGCAGTTATTAAGGTTAGCCACACATCGAACTCTGGAAGAGAAAAAAGCAGGTTGCTTTTCTAAGGAAAACAGCAGAAATTTAGTGAATCCATTGAAGTACGATTCACTAAGGATTAAACTGAGTTGACCAGTTGGCGAGAACACCATTTACCTCAGATAAGGAATTAGCGACAATCATAATCTCCCCCAATCATACGTTGAGGTTTCTTGAGCTAATTTAAATCTTTACGAAAAAGATGTACTTAAGGTCACCAAAGAAAAAGGCAAACAAGAACCAATACTCATACTAACTCACCAACACGCTTAACAGCATCTTTTTGACATACATCCATATCCGAGCAAACTCTACAAAACAAAATAGGCCTTAATGGGAACGTCAGAAAGTCATTTAGAATAAACAAGAGGTTAAATTATGTTCACCCTACGTAGACAAAGGAAGAAATATTAAAGCCATACGTGGGACTTTGTCATTTTTGAGTAGCCCTAATTTATGCACGGTCTTGCGGACTTTCAAAACTAGAACGATAATTAGGATAGATCACTTCATCAAAACATGACGAATGTGCAGATGTGGTCAGTCTTAAAATGAGTGATCCGCCAACAGAGTAGGGTATATGTAATATACGTTCTTTACTAAACGAAATCTACATTACTGCGCAATAATAAGGACGAAGGACGCACAGCATGAAGACCGAGCTTTGAAAACTTCGGGAGCGACTTGAATGAGTGAAGAAACGCAATTGATGACACGAGATCTCATTTTGACGATTTCTTGACTTATTCTAACCTCAATCTCAACTTAGGAGCATCTTTTCAATATTGGTAAGATGTCTACAAATCTATGCGGGATAACAGCGATCACCAACTGACTTTACGGCTGCCAAATCTTCGCAAAACACTACATTCTCAAACATTTCTGTACTGTAAGCTTATTCCCTACGAAGCCCGGTTTCGGCTTCAAAGACAATTTTCATCCACTCAATTATTGCCTAACTACAACTGTTTGACTAAATTTCTAATTCCCACAAAAAATCCATTGAATATGGACCTAAACACCTCTGACAATAACGTTGCTGCTGCGATCAAATCAAAAATACTTGAATTAAACCTAAGGTTTAATAAATATACCAATGAACTAGACCTGTGTGAATAACCATCATACATTTCTGCCAATCCTGTTACGAGACCACTTGTGGTCATTTTCGCAGGATTCCGAAACAACCGTTAAGGTGCGATGAAACAGTTTTGGGAATAAATTGATTGAAAAACCAACATCACCATTGAATTCGTAGTCGTGATTAAACAAAATTACGGATTACCCACCAGAACAGCAAAACAAAAACCGAAAGCAGGAAAACTGACAATATCAAGAAGACAAAATTATCCACAGATTAGCACCAAGATGCATACATTTTGATCAAGTCAATCTCAGCCAATTCTCTGAAACTGTAGAGTGGTGTGGTGTGGTGTGGCGTCGGATTAGGGCGCAGACATATTGGACCACCTGGCCTCAGCCAATCGCGTGTCTCTCTGCGATCCAATGGCATGCGGGAAAGGAAGGCAGCCAACCAGAGAAGGACACGACTGAGGAGCAGTATATAGCGAGTGGCGTGGCCAGCGCGGTGGACTCGGATGGGAGGCGCCTGACGCGTGGCTCTGGCTTCTGATTGGTCAATAAAGCCTGTTCTGTTGTACCAGTCTTTTACCTATTAGGG